ATAAATCACAAAATCACATCATGGTTGAGTTTGGCAGGACCTTCGGGTCCTTCCAGCCCAACTCCTGACCAAGCAGGGACACCCAGATCAAGGTCCCCAGGGCCACGTCCATATGGCTTCTGAATATCTCTAAGAAAGAGACACTACAGTCTCTCTGGGCAAACTGTGCCAATGCTCTGTCACCTACACAGCACAGAAGTGATTTGTGATGGTTAGATGGAACTTCCTATGTTCCAATTTGTGCCTATTGTCTCTTGTCCTGGCACAATTAAAAAGACACCATACTTAAAAGTGTTCTGAGTCACCAGCTAACTTCAGATTCCCAAACCATAGCACCTAACTGCTAAAATGTGATTAAGGCAAAATTTGAGACCCTATACTATACATAACTGTGATACTGAAAATGCAGCATACAACTGCCATCTAGGTAGATACCTAACCATTGCAGATGTTTGTAGGTCTTAAAGTTCTTCACATATCTACCTTTCCATTCCATTCATTCAAAATGAAGTGATAACAATTTCTTAAAAATAATAATAATTGGAAAAAAAGTTTCAAGATATATGCTTTTCTTTAAATCTTCAACAGCACAAAGGTATGACCTTTCAGGTAGACTTTGAGCTAGATTTCATTGCTGCCTTTCTAAGTGCTCAGGTTCTAGATTTTATTGCTGACTCAGTTAGTAAGAGCTCAGGTTCTCTCACCCACCTAAGACAAAGATGGCTTAGAAACACATATTACACTTTTCAGACAAATACTATAAATGGAAACACATGATGCAAAAGATGAGTAAGACCCCTTTAACCATCAGCACTACCTCTTCTCTACTTCGGAAGGAATTCAGTGTTCACCAACCACAGCTTTTCTCAGAACAAGGTTTTCTCAGGACTAGGAGTTCGGAGTTTCTCAGAACTCGGAAGTTTGGCGTCTCTTCTACTGTTTGCAGAGCAATGGCTGTTAGGGCAGACATAAGTCTGCATAATTCGCTGGTAGCCTACATTTCACATCTGTCTTCCTTTAGGTGGAGTTTACTGAATCAAGATCTTGGTTCTGGGAGCACTGGATCCATCAAAAGAGAAAAATAAAAAATTGAATTCATGTATCACTACTGTTCAGTCTTTCTCAGATCTAGCATCCTCATGTCTCAGTTTCAGTGGAAAGGTTGCACGTGCAACTGCAACTACTTCTAAACATCTAGTAGATGGTCATCTGAATGGTTCTTCCTGCTCCACTGACCACATTGAGTAATCTCCACTGATCAGTCTAGGAACAGAGACACCCAGTGAAACTCCCAACGTATACCTACCGAATTCCAGTACTGTCCAAGGTTCTCAAATTTCCATACAAGCTATTTCTGATACTAGAGTTCCAGAAAGCTGTCAAGTGCAAATGTTGGCATTATGCCACTACTTATCATTTGTGCAGATTACAGGTAACCAGAATAAGCCAATACTCCTAATTTGAAATTATGTATTGGTATCTTTTCAGGTAGAGCTGAACCTCAGCTGCCTGCAGTTTAATCCTAGAACTAACTGACCATGAAGATATAAAAAAAGCTTATCTGTTAAACTGACTAACCCTTATCATTGTGACCATTACTACTTTGACTCTCAAAATAGTTTAATAGAATAATACATGTTAATTAAGTATACCAAAACTTAATACTAACTATTAGTCATAGTTCCAAGTAGGTTAGTCTTCCCGAATTATAGTAAATGTGTGTGTGTGCATGTACGTTTGCATTATAATGTACCAAAAAATTATTCTTAGATAATCAAGCCACAGAGGAGAGGCTGAGATCACAAGAAGAGTCTGGGTTAAAGTAAGAAAAGTTAAAATGGAAATTCTGAGATAGATTCCACTCCCGATACCATGCATTTGTTTTGTTTATGAAACATTTAAGTAAGTGACTGGAAATACAGAAGATTTTCTTAGAGAGGAAGAGTGAATACTACTGCAGTCCCATACTTTGTGTCGCCTTTCAAAAAATAGCTGTGAGAAATGAACAGCACTGAAATCCCATAAAAAATAGCAGGAAAGAGTAGAGTAGCAGATGCAGTTTTTCATTAACATGAAAATTTCTCCCTTGGAAAAAGTCATAGTACTAAAAAAGCAACAGCAACTTATTTTTTTAAGAATTCACCTCCAGATCCTTAAGGCAGATATTCAAAATCTGGACAGAACTCTTTACTCTAGAGTGAACTGACTAATTGTAGTCAACTAAAGATAGACAAATCACAAATGCTCACCATTTCCCCAAGGGGAATACACTTAGCAATTTGAATATCTACAAACCATGACTCAAGAAAACACTTGTAGAATACAAAAGAAAAAGAGGTTCAAACACACAAAGAAACAGAGTTATGTTTCATTAAAAGGGAAGCCTAATTAAAAGGTTAAACAGTTTCAGGAGGAACGGTCAGCTTCTGGGAAAGTGATATTCTAAATCAGAAAAGCAGCATTTAGAAGAAGTACAGTTAGAATCTAGATAAAATCATTCTCCTGAAAACAACATTTCCTCCATTCCTTCCTTCCTCCTCCATACACACTTTGGGAATACAAGCTTAGAACAGACCATTGGAAAGGGAGACATTGTTTTCTGTCTTTTGCAACAGGCAGAGAAAACACTGGACCATTTAAGGTATGCATCTTGTTCAGTAGAGCATTCAGAGAGTGTTCAGGGAGCACTGGGCTAATAGATGGTAAAGTGCAGGATTTCTTTATAACATAACAGTTATGTAACTTCTTTGATTTTTGTAGATGGTTAGCAGCAATCATTCTATCTTGGACAATTTGAAGTAATCTCTCAGACTAATACAATATGACAGGCAAAGTGTATTCTGACTTGATTTGCAGTGGCGACTAGTAGAGAATATTTCACTGCAATGCAGGCATTCCCAAATTGATCTGCTTGTAAATTCCAGAAATGGGACAAATAAACAAACAAATAAACAAAGTCTCTGTTTTCTGAAAGAACTGTTTCCTGGTGTTGGATGAATAGAATACTGTAATAAGGAATTAAAATTAAAAATGTACTGGGAAGGAATTTGGGGGTTTCTTCATTTTTGATTCTCAATGGCATACAGAGAACATGTTACAATTAATTCAGCATGTGGGGGTAATCATGTCCGTTACACGGCAATGTTTAATCTAGTTGAGGCCAGTAATATCTGGATGTTGATCTGCAGTGTCATGTGCTGCCTTGTAGCATTTCCACATGGGTGATCTGATACTTTGCAGCATTAGAATCTGCATTTGATTTCTTTCTCTCTTATCTGACTCCTTGGGGATTCAGTAAATTCAGCTGTAATTTATGACTGCCATTCTCTTTGGGCTTTGACACATACACACCAAAGGATAAAATCAGACTTCTAAAGCAGTTACCATCTGCCCTGCCCTCCTGATGGAGATTGCCAGTCTCAGCACACTGAAAAACAGTGAAGCAACTCCTCAACATCTCAAGCCTGTTTATTAAGGTGCACAAACCCACTTGAATTTGATGTTTAGCTGAGAACTGCAGCAGTACAGAAGCTGAATCATAAATCAAGCAGTGATCTTTGTCAGAGGTGGGGCAACAACTTGGGCAGTCGCCATCTGAGTTTAGTCTGTTTCTGGATGTGAATGAACTCTTGGACTTCGTCAGTGTTTACAAGTTAGTAAATGACAGTCCTTCCAAAAGCAATTGTTTCAGAACAACAGGGTAACTTCAGATGCTTTATAGACTGTTATTGAACTGACTGCTTTACAGATTCTCAGTTTTCATTGGTTAGTTTTTGGAAAAAAAAAACTTTCCAAAATTTTCAAAGCCATAACTAATGCAGAAATGAGGGTTTACTGCACATCCTCCTTTGATCCCCAATATAAACTGGGTTAAGTCACAGTCTATGCTTTGGAAAATCTCTCTTTCAGTCTCCTGTGCAATTATGTCGCAAACTCAGACCTATTATTTAGCTATGTATGTAGGCGCTATTACATGTTTTTATTATACAGAGTGAAAAATCAAAGTAGTTGTTGATTTTAAATGATAAATTTTTATTCTGAATATACTGTTTTTGCACAAGAATTAACACAACAGTTCTAGGATTATAAACTTTTTATAACATTATTGTACAAATTTTTACAAAAATTTATTTTTCCAGGCTTGTCAAGTTCCACAAAAGTGTCAAGAGAACACAATAAAAGGGAGAAAGACTTGCTTTGCCTTGTAAGAGCAAGCAAGCCTTTTTTGCAGAAACGCACACTGAGCATTTCAATAAAAATATCCCAGAAAGCATGATCCAGACATTCCATACAACACAAGAAGAGAAGACAGCTTTGTCAGATCACAATCGCATTTTCATGGCATCTGAACAACAGTACTCTTTTAGCCTCAGTGAAATTATTTCTTCAAGATGGTATTTTTCTTTTAAACCATAAACAGTACAGATGCAAGTAGCTAGGAAGAAGGTTATGCTAACTTTTCAAAACTCTTGAATTGTTTTCAGACACTTTGTTTTAATCTTTTTACAGTAGTGTACAATGATTATTAACAATATTAACATTGTGGTATGGAAGAAAAAAAAAAAAAATCTGGCCTTTTTTAAAGGCTTAGATGTCTGATGAAGCTAGGGTAAAATTTAACCTAAGGAGTTATTAAGATTTCACCTTCAGTCGACATTCCAAAATCCATCAGAGAGCAGTGCAGTGCCTTGTAGGCATTAATATACCTCTTAATAACCAGTGTGCTAGCGTCTGAATTTTTAGGACCAGTGAGACTGAGGTTATGTTTTGAAATTAAGAGATACTAAACATACTTTCTGAGCTTACATGTTGATGGGAAAAAAAGTTCTTAATGTCTCTTCAGTGATACCAAAAAACTCTCAACCGCAGCAAGTAACACTTGGGTTGCAAAGGTCACTTAAAAGGGATACTGCCTATTTGAACCCAGTAAGGCCAGTTTTTAAGTTAGTAAAAGGAATATTATAGGAAAAATTACAAATGGCAGCAACACTTATTGTTTGTTTTTTTTTTTTTGTCAAGTCAAGCAGTAAAGCCTCAAGCATTAGAAACATGAAAAATATCATACTAAAGTCTTAATGATACAGGACCTAAAAATCTTGTCAATCAAACCTGCTATGTCATGTTAAAAACCTGATACAAATATGGACCACGGTTAGTGTCTTGGCAGTAATGCTGGTTGTTTAAACAAACAAAAGGGAAAGAAAAGAAGAAACCTTTCATGTTAAGTCTTCAGATCACACTTGTACAGTACCACACTGTGAGAACTTTAATGGTGGTTATTTATCAGACGTACAGTAGGCCACATGACTTCTGTGCAAATGAAAACAGCAGTTTATCTCTGTCCCTTAGTGCTATTTAAAGGATCTGAGCAAATACCAACATAGTTTATTATATGACTTCAAAAAAACTTTTTACAGCATATTATAATTTGAAATTGAAACTTCTGTGCAAATGAAAACAGCAGTTTATCTCTGTCCCTTAGTGCTATTTAAAGGATCTGAACAAATACCAATATAGTTTATTATATGACTTCAAAAAAACTTTTTACAGCATATTATAATTTGAAAATGTTTCAATTTCAAGCCTAGGATCAAGTTTCTTTTCTTACAAAGAGAAGTTGACTACTACACATTATGTGAGAGTAAGGATATTCTTCTGCATAAGAATTAGTTATTCATGGAAGATATTTCTAACAGACTGTTCTTCACACTTTGAGATAGCTAACATTCACACTGCATTTGCTTTGTGGTGTTTTGGTGCTTTGTATTTTATAGATAAGTCACTTCCATATAACCAAAATCCTGAGTTTTCTATCAGACAGGTTTAATGGCTAAAAGGCTAGGTGTATATAAAGAAATGATTCTTCAAGTCCTAGAGAGGGGCACAGGAGAGGAACAAAGAGTATTTCCCTTTCTGGATAGACCAAAAAGGATAATGTATCTGCATTGCATGGACTTCTCCCTCCTTTTTATATGTGAGCTCTCTAGGGGAAGTGGAATGAGATCAAAAATCCCACTTGGTTTCTGTGGCATTATAGTTTGTACTATCTTTCTTCCTTCCTACAGACCCTCATCAAATGTTTATTAACTAACTCAGAATACGAGTCACTCGTATAACCAAATTATTCTAACATCTCAGTAATGTAACATTTCCATGAAGGGTTTCTTTTGGGTAGCTAAGTGGAAAATGTATAGCACTTCTTTTACTGGCAATCATTCAAGAAATTAAAAGGGCAAGATGCAAAGTAATGTGTATTTTAGCTAATCTTAAAGTAAAATCAAACAAGCTTATTACGAATTGGCTTAATCCTACAAACCTTGTTCCTTCATATGATTCCATTTGACCATGTTAAGGAAAAAATGCAGAATAGAGTTTAAGGATTAGAAAGACTCAAACAATTATTATTGGATTTTTTTTGTTGTTATTTTGTTTTTTAATAAAAAGTGCAGTGATATAACTGGAAGAAGGGTTGCAAGATTACCTTTACTCATAGCTTTAACATTAGCTCACCTTGCTTGAGGAGGACCTGAAGTCATCCGACAGAGTTGACTGTAATTTAGACCCCATGACTGTACAAGAGGTATTTTTTAAAACTAAAATTTATTACTGAACAGAAGGTCAGCTTTTACTGTTTTCACTCATTGTTCTTCCAGAGATGAGAAAATACATTGCTGGAGCCAAGGTTCATGAGGAAAACAACAAACCAGCCGTGGGTACAACTAGAGTAGACATCCGATCTTTTAAGCCATGCCATGGCTTTGAGTAGCTTCTTCATGTTTCATAGGGTATTAATGCATGCCCAATTGTTTCTTTAAGCTTTTGACATGATCAAAGTTATATCAATCAATTGTCAGCAAACACATACCAATGCTTTGAATTTTCTTAATTTTTTACAGAGCTAGTATATTGTGCCATGTTAATATTTGCATATTGCAGTTTTTAGCAGAATTATACAATATCAGCAGAGTTGCACATTCATTGGTTTAGCTGTCTTGCAATACTGTTTAGTTCTGAAAACTAGAAAAAAGCACAAATCATATTTTGCATCAACACTATGATACACTGTAATATTGCAATTTACTGCACCAATCTGTATCACAAATGAGATTGTATAAAAACAACTTCTAAAATTATTATTCACAATCAAGTATCAATGTGCATACATACAGATTCAAGGCTCCCCATTTGTTTAGATTTTTCCCAATCTCAGAAACCAGGTAATTTTGCCGTTAATTTTGTTATTTTCAATAATAAATAGCAACAGTATAATTTTAATAGTCTGGATGAATTTTAAAGCAAACAAAGGGGGAACCTGATATGAACCTTAGTGAACATATACTTTCAAAAATAAATATGCAAAATCTGATTTTTATATACTTAAAATATCTGTACACAGGTTTTAATGTGAGATCACTATTATGTAAAAAAATCCAACTCAACTTTTTTGTTATGATAGCTAAGTTTACCCTATTTTCTCAGCTTTTCATTGCACAGTATATTCAGAGCTCTATTTCATAATATAATTTAATATGATTTGATTGCAACACATTGCAATGTTCAGTTTCTCACATAATAAAAGAACCACTCAGTTACCTTTGCAATGGACTACACTCTACCATCAAAGAAAACTAACTGAAAAACAGTAACGCAGCATCATCATCATGCAAAATACCCTTGGAAACCAACGTTCAAATATCACATATAATTTTTTTTTTTGTTAGTATTCACAAGTCTTTTTTTAAATCTTTGAAGGACTTGACTAGTCTATATGTATATCTGGCATTGTGAAAAGGAGGTGAATTATTATTCTTCTGATAAAAGATGACACCAAGATTAAAAGAATTTTAAATTACACTCTCAAGCATCTTTATATTTTTTAAAAATAGTAGTTTCCTCCTTTCTCCATTCTTTTCTTTAAACTAATAAATTATGAGCCAACCCAAATATTGCCAGCTACCTGTTCTGATTAACTTTGGAAGAATAAACCACTCATACAGCATTTCAATCATGCTGAGCTTCTGATGAAGACTAGCCAACATTTTCATTTTACTCAAACAGTTTGGACGAGCCTGATGTTCAAAGCAGCCATCGTGGTGCTAGCAATGTATACTGGGAGTATACTCTCTTTTTTTTTTCTTTTTTTCTTTCATAAATAAATGTTCATGTAAAAGAATATAAATCTTCAAGAAATCCAAAGCTTAAAATAAATGAAAATCATATACATAAGCTATGGTCAGGGGAGCCCTTTTACATGAAGTCATCAAGATTACAACAACAAATAAATGAAAAAAAATCTTAGATTCCCCAATGAAGCATGTACGGAATTCTGTTCGGGTGGCAGAGATGATGCAGCATTCACATACGTTTAAGGATTGACACTCCAATATGCAGCCACTTTGAGTGCCTTTATGAATCTCACAATGCGTGATAACCAGACATGAGCATTGCTGTTCTGCTTCTGTCTGAATAGCTGACCCTTTTTAAAATGAAATTGAGGCTATCATTTTGGCCGGATCTTGATTAAGTTATGCAGGTTTTGTCTTAGCAAGGTCATAACTGGTAGTGTCTGCTGCCAGATAAGAGCCAAAGCAGGACCAACTGAATTCCTACCATAGACCACAGTGATGGACTCAGACCAGAGGCACCACCACAGTCAGCTGAATCTTCCTGTTGACAAGGAAAAAAATAAATGAATAACATTAATTACATCTAAATTTCCAGAAGAGTAATCTAAACTTTATTCTTCAGCATTCTGAATTATCCTTGAGACATCATTTTTGGTCTTAAGTACATTATTATATATAAAAATCCCAAACAAATAACAAAATAATTCTAAAATTTTGTCTGATTTTTGATGCAAAGAATGACATTACCACATTAACCTTAGACATGGGAAAATTCATCACTTACAAGGCTTACTGTAGTCATTTATGAATTAGATGGGATGCTTACATAAAAAAATAAGAAATGCTATGGAATATACCTGGAAGCCCCCAAAATCCGTATCTATATATCCATAAAATTACATCAATTTGGAGAATTGGAGCATCGCTTTACAAAAGATGAGAAAAACCCATAACTATTCAAAATAAGAAAACAAATATCAGACTGGTCACGCCCATTACTTCAACATGATTACATATTAAAAAGAATATGCTCTGCAGGTGAATATATGATCAAAACGAAGGAAAATCCTTTCTTTGTCTGAGTTCTGAAATAAATTTTCTATTGTTTGTTTTGTAACTTCTTTGCAGTCTGTAAACAAGACAGGCTCCAATTTTAGAGCTGGCTCCAAGCTTTACTGCTTTGACATGCATCAGTGGACCTAACTACTCATTATGCCACAGAGCAATCACAGGTCTTCCCTCCTTCTTCTTAACCAGTAACTTCTGTTATTTGGTCTCACCTTGCCTGTCATGCATAGTATCTTTCACATCAAGATTTAATTTGCTAGTCTGGTTGAAATACATTTTATACTTGTTCTGGATTCTGTAACATACAAGAAGGTGTAAACCTTCTCGCTTCTCATAGAAGAAATCTATGTTCAGCTATCTAAAACTGCAGGGAAATATTTCAGCCATTCCTTGCTCTACTTCGTTCACCAAGTTCTGGATGGAGAGGTAGCTTTGGAGGCTGAAAATATTTATTCTTCTACTTGTTTTCATGGCATTCTACGCAAATAGCTTAAAAAGACACTTTCCCTTTATATTCAACTTCACAGTCTTCAAAGACAAGGTAACAGTGTAAGCAGGAAGGGAGATAGTTCCTCTCAGGAACTGGGGAAGCTTCTTCAACAGGAGCAACATGTCCAGGAAGGACAGACTGCACCTTATTTGTAATGCAGTCCAGCTGCTGGCACAAAAATTGAAAAGGTTGCAAGAAGAACATCTTTTAAACAGAAAGATGAGGAAGTCTAATGAGTATGGAACAAGACTGACATGCCTCTGAGACAGATATAACTAATAATTAATATGCCTCAGAAAAGCCAATGGGAAAATAAATAGTCAAAATAAATACAGAAGGCTCATCAAAACGCTTTCTATCTACCAGCACATCCTTGAGCAAAATTTTTAAGTGTTACTACAGCATTGCAAGAAGCATAAAATTAAGGTGGAATCATGAAGAAAAGGTATCGATTAACCACTCCAAGATAATAATAATTAGACATGTGGTGGAAGGAGAATAACCAGTACTAGAGAGCATTACTGGCTACCAACTTGGTCAGAAGAGCAATATGGAACATTCACCATAATGATGTTATGTTAAGGATAATAGAAAGTGTGATGGGGCAAAAATATTAAGGGAAAAGAAGGTGTGATGAAATCTCTGTGGGTACAACTTTTTAGAATCTAATAATAGAAACTTAATACTAGTATTGCATTGCTGACCACCTGATGACTGTAACAAAATCAATCATGGAATAGTGAGAGGCAATACAGAGATTGGATCAATGCACTATCAAGAAAAAAAATCACATTTTTAGATGTGATAAATGATGGCTTCTTGGAAGAGTCTTTGAATCAGTTGTACATGGGACCACTTTCAAATTCTCTGTAGTATGCTGCTCTCTACAACTATAGTATTGGTCTAGTAGCAGTGTAGACCACAACGCAGATGGACTTAGCATTCCTGTGTGAAACATCGGGCCAAACAAATCCAACTCAAAAGATTCAAGGAAGGGAACTCTGTGAAAATTACAAACCACAGTTCAAAAAGTCATAAAAAAAGACAACGAACTCACTTTCAGAAAAGAAAGAGAGAAAGAGAGGAAGAGAGGAAGAGAGGAAGAGAGAAAAGGAAGGAAGGAAGGAAGGAAGGAAGGAAGGAAGGAAGGAAGGAAGGAAGGAAGGAAGGAAGGGAAAGGAAGAGAAAGGAAGAAAGGCAGAAAGAAAGAAAGAAAGAGAAAGAAAGAAAGAAAGAAAGAAAGAAAGAAAGAAAGAAAGAAAGAAAGAAAGAAAGAAAGAAAGAAAGAAGCAGGAAATAGCATAGAAGCAGCAGCCCAAAAAGCAAGACTTTTAACATGGATACAAAAGGCTATTTAGAAATTTTACAGTGGATATGCAGGTTAAGTGAATGTTACAACTAAAACAAGCAACTAAAACATCAACAAAAGAACAAAAGCAAACAAACCCAAAAATGACAAAAAAAAAAAAGAAACAACAAAAAATCAAAAAAAATCTTGTATAAATCAGTAGGGAGATTGAGCAGGCTGTCATAGGGAAAAGATCAACCTTTAAGGAATGAAATTTACACAAATGGGCAAAAACAAGAAAGTACAAATTAGAACAGGAAATTGGGAGGACTAATAAAGATTTTTTTTTCTGATCTTCCTGCAACATGTGCTAAATACAAAGGTAAAAAGTTTTGGATAAATTAAAAGCACAATGCAAATCTGGGTTAGCGAAACTGCTTGATAACTGAGGTGTAAACAGGAAAGCTGGGGATTATAGGAGATATAACAAAGGATTTTAATGAGTTATTTTGTCAGCTTTTAAGGGTTGAACACTTCCACATGATTCCCACTACACACAATGCATTCTTTAAACAAAAGGCATTAGATGAATTAGATCAGTTTGGAATAAATATACTGGAACTCAGATCAAGTAGGCAAATTAAATTTAGTAAATTGTCAGGAATGATAACATTCACTGACAGAGCTGAAAAAAACTGGGATGTAAAAAAGGAACAAAACAAAAATCAGTATTAGCATTCTTAAGGAAAAAAAAATATAATTATGTAAAGAGCTTACATTATAACAATATTATATTATATCAATAGTAGTAATTTCCAGACCAGTCTCTGCCATTAATTAGCTTTCTAATTTAGCTCTATAATAGTGGCTTAAGTTTTTTTTTCTATTTGAGTGCACTTTACAAGCCCAAAACTCCTAAGCTTTCTGATCAACAAACACGGGAACTCCCTGCAGAAGTTCACCAAGAAGCAGAGAAGGTCAAATAGTAATTTACATAAATTAAAAAAAAAATGGAAATAAATGGAATCCTATCATTAATTTCAACGAGAATACAATTACATTCAGTAAAACCTGCCAAAGTTGAGAAATTATCAATTGCTTAGATATAATATCTAAGCTTTCTTTTAACAGCATCATTTTCACTCCTTATATCTGTCAGTGCAATGAGACATTCAGCTATTTTCTGAGGATTTTCACTAAAATTTTCTGACCCATTACATTTGTCACTATTACGTACGCCTAGGAACCCTAAATAAGCACAAGATCAGAATATTTCTTTCATTGGAAAGAATTCTCTTCACCCAGTTCCTCTTCACCAAAAGTGCATCGGGAATTTCTTGCATTAATAAATCACATGTGAAATTTCCTTCACCTATTCCTCTATGCTTGAGGTGAAGTGTCAAATACAAATGTCATCTCTTTCATGTCATGCCTTACTATCATAACTCCTAAGAGGGTTATTTTACATCACACACCATGAAAATTATTCAGCACATGCAAAATGGAAATGAATGCTTTTATAAAACCTTACATTCATTGTAGAGTATCAAAACCACATATTCATTGCTATATATATCAACATTTTCTGGAAGGCAGTGCCAGTTCAAAATTTTAAATATACACATGGAAAAACATATATATACACACCTTAGACTACGTGCATTCGTGTTAATTCTTTAGAGGTATACAATACACATTTCAAGTACTAAAACTCTGTTTTGAGAAGTTAATCAGAACCCATTACGATATATTGACTATAAATAGGAAAAAACTAAGATATCAGCCAAAGATCTTCTAATATAATCTTTGATACCAAATGATTACTGAATGTTATATCTTTTGTAATCTAACATTTATTATAAGCCCTTCTCTTGCATGGAAAACACCTCAGCTCGTACTCAAGAGTTGTTTCAAGTTTCAGTGGTCTTTCATAAAAGTTGCTACCTTGCTTTGACTGGACTACCACATGATACTGCCCAGTCTATACACCTGCCTATATATAGATCAGGGATACAGCAAATGTCATCAAGACATACACAGTTTTCTGGGGTGCTAATCAGTCTCAACGTGCCCATTGACACCTGGGAGGTAATGGAATTAAGGCATTCTCAGAAGGGCCTAACAATCTCTTTTCTACTACCCTCTTTATTCTAAGGCATTGCAAACAAAACCAGTAAGAGCAAGCTATTCAAGGAATGATAAAGACTATTTTGTTATGCTTTTTTTTTCTTTTTTTCTTTTTTTTTTGGAAAAGAATAAACAAACAAATAAATAAATAAATCGCTGAACCTGATCAGCTATTTTATATGTGCTTACTTCAGTGACTTTAATTAATGCCCTGCAAGAAACTGTTACCTTATTCACAAGATCCTTAAAAACAGAATTGATGAACAAAATTACTTTTATAACTTTCTCCTGAAAGTAATGTATCAGCTAAAATGATGTTTCTTCATGAGTTTCCAACTACAAGTTTTTGGTCTGCCTTTTTGAGCAGAAAGATCAGTACAGGCATAAAGACCTCAGGTCAAGGTGAGCCTCTGTCTAATGTACATTAGACTGTAGCTTTTTAATTAAAATAAGGTTACTTACAGAGCAAATTGCACAAGTGAGAATATGAGATGTTAATCTAGATGTGAATGTGAAATACCACTGCCTTGGGGGAAGGGACTTTACCCTTCCTTACAACCTTCAGCTATCTCTGTGCAAGCTGGCTAGAAATTAGATCGTTTAAATATACAGAATGAAACTTCAAAATTACTCCATTACAGCTGCTAAAGAGAACTTAAAGTTTTTTTCACTGATGTTCAAGTGATATTAACTGAATCTTCCCCCAAGTATAAAAAGAATATACATAATTACAAGAACAATTTTATTTTGTTACAATTTTTTTATATTCTACCACATTAACTCTGAAAACTGACACTAAGATTCCACTTCTACCAGTGGACAGTCAGCTGGCTTTGATACATATGTTAGTATCTCCCTCTAGTGGTTTTCTGAGTAATATTTTTGATCAGACACCCTGGAAGTGTACAAGTTCAACACTAATCTTATTCTCATCAGAACAGCAGTTCTTTTTGCATACATGTCACCGCGCAGTAGTGGAAATTCTCATGTCATTAAACACAACACAGTCAAAAATTCCAGGACCTTGATTCTGAACTGGAAAGTCTGCACTAGGTCAACATGCAGTATTCGTGTATTTCATTAGAAGAAAAAACATCATTTACATTAATTAGGCAACAAATATGTTTAGGTCACAATAAGTTAAAAATATGAATTTACTGAATCCAGTATCTCATCAAATGAATTCACACTGTTACCTTCTATCATTAACATTTTTGTTAACTTGAATGAGGAGAAAACTTCCATACGCAGAGCACTTGTCTTTGCTATCCTCAAATACAGCTTTATTTTCACAGGTACCATCTCTTCTGATTACCTTGTACCTTTGTTTGCTTCTGTGCAGAAAACTTACTTTTATTTTATTTTAACAGGGACAGGGGAAAAATATTTTGAAGAGAACACAGACTCAGTTGATACATGTGCAGTTTCAAAGAGACAACTGCATAAGCCCGAAAGGTTTCTGTGTCTTTGTATTTGCTATGGGAGAAGTCTCTGTGTTCCCTAACTCTGATTTATAAGGCTCCAAACAGAGTTTTTTCATATTTAATTTCCCTAAATATTGCAATAGTAATTTGCTCCAGACTGCAGCTTTTGGGACCTGCTTCATTACGTTTTCTTTTGTATGCTTTCTACTAGAAAAAGCCTGCTAATTTTTTTAAGCCAAGAACAAAACAAAAAATTAGAGAAAGTAACTGACCATCCACACCACATGAAAACTTGCAGAAAAATGAAGATAGGAGCAGACGTCATGGCAGAGGCACGACTCGTTGTGCATATAGGCTGATCCTATTAATAACGGGCAAAGTAGCAATAGAGGAAAAGAAAGAAAACACAGAAAAAAAGACATACAAGATGAGATATCATGCAGTTTGCTGGCAGTTAGCAGAGTTAATGTGAAAGCATCCACCCAAGAGCAAGAGATTCACAGCGAATTTTGCAAATGAACTTAACCAAAACAATCCACTGTTACAAAACACATGACTTACACACTGATTAGCACATCAAGCTAGTGAGCAAGAGTTTTACTTTCACACATGATAGTTGGAAGGAAATGGAATATTTACAATGGACAAATATTCTTCTGGGTTTTCAGCTTTATTGGTGTCTAACAAGACTTCTTTATTCAAATTAAATCTTGTTACTAGAAAAATGCATTTAAAGTGTAGAATACTGTCTGGATTTTACTTTTTTTATATACAGACAACTCAACCATTGTGTCTGCTTGGATCATTGGATCAAAACCTGGTACACAGTAGTTATAATCAACTAACTTCATCAGAAGTGTCAAACAATCTTTCCTTTGCAAAAATGAGATGAAGTATTACAAATGCTTTTTAAAATTAATTTTTATATGATGTCAACTATTCTCCTGTTAAGTACTCTTTGTCTTGCAATTTATTCTGAATATTCGGAACTAAATTTGTTCTTTTTCACAAAGCATTTTGAAGGAGAGATTATATTCAAAATAAATAATATATTTGGGACAGTTATCATTTTTTCCTTTGAAACTACAGTTACGTATACAGTACAAGGAGAACTAAAGCATCATAGCTTTACTGATTTCAGAAAAGAAATGCAGTTTTGTACTTGTTAAGAATTTGATGTAAGGTCAAAACACTTGCAGAATTTCTAGGAGGAACATCATCCCAAAACAGATGGTTTTCACCATGTAACAACACTTCAAATGATATTTGTAAATATATTATTATAAAAATACTGGTTCATAACAGGAATATCATCTGTGTGCCAAATCCACAGACAAATTTCATAGCACTGTACTCAGCCCATCAGTTTTATCCTTGCTGAGGTTACTTTTGAGGAAATCATGTGTGAAAGTACATAGTTATAGGAAAGGTAGATAAGAAAGCAGCTGTTAATTTTATGTAATTCATGGGATACTTGAAATAGAGTGACTATGGTCTAGAGTGAACAGTATGTTTAGTGATAGATAGATTACAAGGCATCAAGGAACATTTAAATACAGTTTTCCCTGCTCTTCTAGAACAACTCTACAACTGTTTTTAGTGATACACTAAAGTGTTGCAAGTTCAATTTTACCTGTTTGGCTTCATCAAAACAGACATCAGGACCTTTTCTGTATCTGGGCTGTTTGACCATTTCACAAGGATTTGGCCCTTCATCTGTGTATCTGGTTAAGGAGCACATTTGTATTTTGGGCTTTGTATATAACCAAGATTAACATTCTGTTTTTACTTTTGTGGGAAAAGTTTTATTCAGACAGCACAGCAATTGAAATCAGCAGTCACAGTTCCCTAGTTAAGTGAGAGAAAACCAAATAAAATCAAACCAACATCCCAATAAAATAGACATCAACTATCTTTTTTAAAGGATACTGCTTAGAAAAGAACTCTTCGTGACTTTTAACAATTAGTAATTTCAGAACAATATGCAAAAAATAAAGGATGCTTCTATTACTATTGCACAAATATTACAGAAATTATTTGACAAAGTGGGAAACCTTCTGTTGTAATTGTGTATGTTACTATTGAGTTATATGGGCTGAATTGAATAAGCACAGTAAAAGTGAGGAAGTCCATCTGGAAAGGTAATATTATATACCAATTGAAGATTGCAGTGAAGATTGTGGCAGTAATGCCAAGGCCTATAAGAATTATTTATTTTACTAAACCTATATTACTCCAAATGTCATAGAAAAGATTATCTCACTGTAGCCTTCAATAGTAAATGTGAGGTAGTGCATTGGTTTATGTCTCTGAAACTCATATTTGCTGATATTTAAGCATAAATACAATACTTCGCTTTAACCACAGACTAAAAAGATGCAAAAATCATTGCAGTGTACTAGAAAGGCACTAATACAATGAAAACAGTCTTCTACCGAACCTGCTGATATTACCATTCAGTGTGTTACATTTTTTGTTTTTGTGGGGTTTAAATATTTTTGGTTTTTTGAATCATTTCCCTTGTGGGTAGTACACACAATAAGCTAGAGTTTGTTTTTTTTTCAAATACTGAGCACCAAATTTTTTACCTAGTTTAGTATATCTAATGTAAATTTGAAGCAATCCAATTCATGCACTGCTGTGGAGTACTACAGCAGATTCAGTGCAGTAAGAGAAGATGATCAAAAGAAGAGAAGGCAAGAAGACAGGGAATTTATTTCTACAGCTCTGCAATCTATTTCTGTCTTCATTCAGATGTTATCATACTCCCCTCCCTCTCCTCTGCGGGGGCCCAGGTGAAAAGGAAGTCAAAACATAGAAGAACTCTAAAAGACCACACGTACAAGCAAAGCTGTACCAGCCAGGAGGAATCAGAGCCTAATAATATCCATCTGAATAACACCTAAAGGTCATTCTGCCTATTTGTGTGATGTTATGCTACATCTGCATTTCACAATGTACCTTGGTTATAGAAAAGAGAGGATAGTCTAGTACTGCATAGTTGAAACAAAGAATAAAATAGTTCATTTAGTCAATACAAGCCCACCCAGCTGCTCTGACTGCAATTTGAGGTCATTTACTGCCCTCTGAAAGGTTGGATCCCCACAGGGAAATGCACATAATGTGCCTATTTCCCATCAAACGTATTCTGTTTTCTATAGCATGTCTTATCCATAAATTCAGACAGTGGCAATAGTTAATCAAACTGTCATGGACTGAAGCCAATTAGAATATTAGGCTGTGTTTACATAGTTTTGTGACAACATGAGTATTGCTTCCACTTCAGTGTAACTTCCTCTTTCAGACCAAGCATAGATGGAATTCCCATTTTATGAATGTCAGAATGAACACGCTGTTTGTGCTAAAGAAATATAGTCATCTCTACCATCATTTGTTTTTATTTCAGGTATGGAAGTAGGCTGTCTCAACCAACTTCCTGACATGGAAAAAGATATATATTTGTTTCACATTCTGTCATAATAATTTACTATGATTACTCTCTGCCAAATTTTTCCTGACCTGTATTTCCTGTATTTCCATTGCAATTATCTACCTGTACCTAGTGGAGTGAACAGAGCAGGGCAAAGTTTCATCTTAGAACAATTTTTCACCAGATTTTTGTTTCAGTGCATGCTCAAGGACTGTACTTGGCAGGTACATCCTGTATTTCCAGCCAGATTTGAAGAATTTCCATGACAGCAGCTGGAAAACTATAGTCTTTGATGATTAAAGCAGATTCCACAAGGAGTAAGTAGTTCTTATCTGCACTAAGTATACAATTAAGTGCCTCAGTCACTTTGTCTGAGTGTTGCAGGCATCAGTGCAGCATTCAGCTTTTAATGACCAAGCCATCTTATATTGGTGTTACCCTTCTTACTTCTCTTCATAGATATTTCTTTGCTTTTCTTAAGGCTGAATAAGCTTGGGTGTCTCAGGCTTCCTTCTCACGTCCTGCACTCCAGCTGCCAGTCACTTTGGTGGTCCTTCACTGGGCTAGCTGCACTACGTCAGTAAGGTGCTGAGGAATCCAAGTCTGTACAAAGCACTCCAGGTGCAGTCTCATAAGTGTTTATGAGATAGGAAGGATCATCACATGACCTTTATTGCTAGGCATACTGCCAACTGATGTTCAATTTCTTCTCCATCATGACCCTCAAGGCATTTTCTGCAGAGCTGTTTCTCATCACTCAACCCTTAGACTTTGTCTACTTTCATACCATTATTTTGTCTTGGATCCAAGACTTTGCACCTTTTTCATTATGCTCCTCTGAGTCTATTTCCGCTGAGATCCTCTCAAACAACAGCTTTGCCCTCTACCTCAAGGACTGCTGTTTTAGATGATTTGTGTTGTTGCCCACAAATATCTGCTGCTTCAAGTACTCCAATGGCAACCACGCTACTAATATATACACAAACAGAGCATTACTTTCCAATTATATTGCAGTATGTCACAGACAGAAAAATCAATCCACATCAGTAAATAACTTGATTTTAAAGGATACCCGGCTTCTCTGCTTGCATCAGTGGCTTTGGATCACAGGAGCGGCATAGCAGTTGGCTGTCACTAATAATGAATACTAGATTGGTGTTTGAAATCTTCTCTGCATGATAAAGTCTGGAAAAAAAGCCGACAATAAACAATGCTTAAGTGAAACAAGGAAAATCGTATATGAGAACATCCATAATCAGAATAAAACATTATCTAACTTCTCAGAATCCAACTGCCTTCTCTTTTCTGTTAATGAACATCAGGAAACATTAATGACAAATTTTGTAATCTTTTTGACATTTTCAAGATTCCCTCTTTCAGCTAGACTTATTGGTGGAAAAAGAAAAAAGGAGTAGAGCACAGAAGGTCTTTAATTGATTTAACAGCTAGCTCTGTGCTTCTAAAGTAGTAGCTATACAGAGAAAAAAACATCAGTTCAGCATCAATTCTTCTCCCGGCAACACTGAAAAACAACAAAAAACACAAATGAAAAGAAAACACACACATAAACTTACCAAAAAAAAGGAAGATAAACCAGTTTAGGGTATTTGTGCTGTTTTTTGGATATGTGTTCGTTGTATTTTATGTATATATTGTTCTGCAAAAGGCCTTTCAGTTAATAGGATCATTTGTAATTTGTAAGTAATTGAAGAGATAGAATTATATCTGTAAGCTATAGATACACTTCATATGTTAGTTACTAAACATATGATTGTATCTGGATTTTTCAAAGAAAAATTTAATGCGCTATTACTTAAATCTACAGGAGAGGCAGACAGACCTTCCACAATCATAGTTTGTCAGTATTTCTTAGTCACTAGGAAAATCTATCCTAGATGTCAAAGCAAGACAAGTCAGGATAATGTAACAGGTTAATTACTGTTAATAGATTCTATTAAAAAAAAAAAAAGATTTATAAACTTTGTAAAGGTGGCTGTCATTCTATACAAGGAAACATTTTGTTACTTAGATGTAAATACATTTTATCAACTTCTTTTTTATCAAATTTTTCAGATGATGAGTTCATAGCTCTGATTAAGTACAGTAGGATGACAAAATACCTGATAATTAAATAACTTATGCTGTAATTATGTATCTGGTTGTTTTAACCAAGCTCAGGCCACCTCTTTTTTCTTGTGTTTTCCTGGCTTTATAACAATAACATATCCATCATAGTTAGAAACATGGTAATTATTTGTCTTAAAACAGCATCAGCTTCACTTATCCTTTCTTATATTGTTGATCTTTCCAGATTGCCAAGTGCACATTGAAGCACACAACTGTACTGACTGGGATACCGATGCATGGAGAATATCACAGTTGTCTTTGCATTCATCTATTTTTTAACATTTGCTTATGAATTTTAAATTGAGTAATCCTGCTGTTAAAAAAAAAAGTTTAAAATGTCTATAGTATGTATACAAGTTTGGGCTTTTCTTTTCAGAGGGTGAGGCTGACAATGCAATATCATCTTTAGAAAATGTATTTAGACAAAATGTATTTCCAAGCCTTCTGACAGTACCCTCTGGAACCAATGAATGCTGAAGTTAATATAATCTGTAACAGCTCTTAAATCATCAGTACTATTGACTAAAAGGTAAATTTGAAAAAAAATTATGTAATCTTCTTGACCATCATAAATTTCAATATATAACTCCATTAAAGGAGATATCTGCTTCCAAGTATTACAGAACTCTTTTAAGTTTACGTAATAAATTAAAAGAAAACCAACAGTAAAGGAAAATGAGGATTTATTTACACAGAGTATATAGACTATAAAGCAAAAAATAAAATAAAATAAAAAATAAATGACAATGAATCATTAAATTCAAATTCATTCTAAGCAAATACAAATAATTCAGTTTATTCATACTCCTTAAATACCTCTACACTTCACGGAAGTCTGACGTAATTAACCTCAAATACATTTTTATTACTGCAATGGTGTCTTTAACTTTTTTCGTAATAAATGAATATCCAAAAGCTATTGTTAACATTGAAGTAGGCCTACCTTGAACAGTTGATGCAGTCTACAATCCCAATAAAAGATTTATCATCATTTTCAAAGAAATACTGAGTTTGCTCAGTGATACAACTTGTTTTAGGCAGAGCAGTAGAAAAATCATCATCTTCCATATCAGCTGCCAGAAAGAGGAACAAAAATAAATAAATAAAGACATTTTAAAAGATGTAGACAAAATGAGGTGATCCAAAATATGGCCCCCAACCTAGATTCTTACCTTCCAGTTCACTCAAAGTTGACTCTCTAATATTCTCTTGACTTACCTGCCTCAAGGAAACGTGGGAAAGTCAAGCTCAAAAACAGCTGCTGTAAGATAGACCTGAACACAGAAAAATAACATGTATTTGTTAAAGGGTTTTTTTTTTTTTTTTTTTTTTTTTTTTTTTTTTTTTTTGTATTTGTATTTGCTGTGTCCTTAAAAACTACTCAAACAAGAACAAGTAATAGCAGAATCATCACAGCTAATTATGCTTTTGTCAGCTATTAACACTGTGCTTGTATACATTTCACAGCTTCATTTTTTTTCTTTTCAGTTTCTTCCATGTCTTCTTTCACACTAATCTTTTATTTCACTGATGAGATTTGCTATCATTTGTGCCCATAACTTATATAACGGAAATGTTAACATGCCATCCATGTCTTCCTTTTATCTCACTGCAGGAGGTGGAAGAGGCATGGTGGTGTTCCTCCAGCACTCAAACCAACCAGAACTCATTTGGAACACACTCAGCGAAAAGAGTCCTGAATTAGATACTTTACACTGATTAAGGCTCATTAAATTATCAGGAGATTAACACTGGTGTATTACAAGTATATTACAAAAATTATGACTTTAACAATTGATTTTTAAAATCATCTCTGTTCCTGCTCTTGAGGTACGGAATGTATTTTCTTCCTAGATGCTGGCAAAACACTTAAACAGATCCTTATACTTCACAGTTATTTTTCGTTGCTTATGATCACATTTTTCTTATGTCATTTACTTGAAGCAAGTACTGGCTTGTCACATAGTCAGCTCACTTCTCTTCTACTGACCTTCCAAAATAGGAATAGCTATATTCACATTCCCCGACTCTCTGCCTCTGTTTAAACCTTGAAGCTGTACCTTCCTATGGTCTTGTTTTAGGTTTGTTTCTAACGATAATGTGATGAGCAGTCCTGATCTCTCCTCACCACATCTGACTGTCATGCAGAGGGAAGAGACTGCATAACTTTACTCAAGGGTCTTTTCCTTTTCTCCTAAGCCAGTGTGGTCTACGCATAACAAAACTGAATCTGCCTGACATGTTTCTACTCAAGTCAGTGCTTGAAGAGGATCTGGATTTACTTCCATACCTTTATGCCTTCAATTATCATCAGATGGAGGGTGCACCAACCATCATGGATGGGAAGAAACCTACTGCAATTCAACAGTGATTGGAATTTGCTAACTGAAAGTCCAGCCCCTTACAACAGCTTACTGCAGAATTTACTGAGAACGAATGAAACCAGCAGCCTGGGAAAGCTGTAGATTCTAAGTTAAAAGAGCATGAAGGAGAAACAATATGCACTCTCTTAATGCTGATATATCCCGTATCAATTTCTGAAAACTATTATTCACTCTTTTATCCCACATTGTTTCCAGAAACATTACAGTTTTCCTCAGCCTGCTTCTCTTATTTCTCTGCATTTGGTTTTGCCAGGTGCCTCATTTAATCCATTTTTTGTCAGCCCTTTTCACTCTGCTTGCTTTATGTCCTTCTCTGCCTGCTCATGACCTAGATTCCATTAAAATTATGTTCACAGAAAGAACTATCATGTGGTACTTTCAAGTTAAACATCACACAAAATAAACCTCAGGTCTAAATTGAGTCCAGACCACAGAGTCTGATTTGAACACTGATAAACTAAAGTCTCTGTGTTTGAAAAGAGCTCAAGTTTCTGTTCTGGATTATTGCCCATCTCCAGTTTTTGATGTTTGCCGTTGTTCAAGAAAACCAAGATTTTAGCTGTTGCTATTATCAAAATGTAACCAACAATAAAAAACAACGTACAATCTTCTTAGAGCACATCATGTGAAAATTACTACATTTGTTCATCTACTATATATTTTAACTTGTAACTTCATAAAGTAGGTAATTTATTCTAGCTTGATAATTACTATAAAAAATAAGCATCATGAAACTTTAGAAAAGTGAAGAGACAGTCTCCAGTAATGCAATTCACATCTGTGTATAAGTATCACATCAGCCCCAATAGCTTACCCCAGCTTGGTGTTAGGTAAGTAGTCAATAGGGATTTCTATCTACATGGTTCTGAAATAGTAAAATCGTTTCTGCGGCCATTATTAATTACACATAAAGAAATCAAAAGAAAATAAAGATCCATTTAGGAGCTCCTAAATGAACAGAACAGTTCAAATATAAGAATTTCCCACACACACTATAAAAAATGCTACAAAACTGGAGAATTATCAAAAATACTTTAGATTTCCTTTTTTTCTTTCATATAGTTCAGTGTCCTTTTCACATCACTTCAAAGAACCAAATAATATATATAATTTAAAAAATTAGCTGACACATATAAACAAACAACACTGGTTATCCTGTGGTCTGAAGCACATTTTGCTTCTTTATATTTCACCATAGAGAAGTATTAAATATTTTCATAAAATGATTCACCGAAGAACCAAAATTGATTTTCTTAAGACTGTGCAATATTTCCAAATATAGTTTAATAGAACCACAGTATGGTTTGGGAAGCAATCTTAAAGACCATCTCATTCCTCCCCGTACCTCCATGTGCAGGGACTCCTTCCAGTAGATCTGGTTGTCTAGAGCTCCATGCAGACTGTCCTAGAACACTTCCAGTAATGGGAAACCTTTTTCAGTGCCTCACCACCCTCATACTGAAGAATTTTTCTTTATATTTAATTTAGATTTAGCCTCTTATAGATTACATTAGCCCTTGTTCTATCACTACACTCCCTAATAAAGAGTCTCTCCCTGTTGTTCCCCCTTCACAGCTGTCAATCAGACTTAGATTGTTAATCCCAATTTATTTACTGAAGCTGACTTTTTAGAGTTAGAACATACAGACACAAAACATGGCAAGAGTGGTTTGGAATTTAACTGCTGACATATCACTTGACTGTTGACAGTTCAAATGGGTTTGGAAACATAATCAAGAACTTTCACCATAAGAAACGATCATAAAGTAAGGGGTTAAGAAAAATTTTACTGGGGAAAAAGATAAAAAATAAAAGACTAATTGTCTTAACCTCCTACATGCTTGTACTTACCAGGCAGCTGCCGAAGCCCACCATCCTAGATGCAAAATATCTGCTATTGTAGGCTGAGAAAAAAGAACAAGATTATTATTTATGTAAACAACTGCACACTTTTACAGAAATGTCAGTTGCCTCATAAGGTACTACTGACCACATAAGCTGAACGAAGTCCAGCTCCTTGCTTTGGTTCTTCTTCAGGATCACAGACTGATTGATAGTCATACGACTTGTTAAAGGCATACAGGGACATGTTAATTAAGTTTCTCATCAAGCCAGGGTCAATTTCACCAAAGAATCTTCCAATCTGACGAAGAAGAATGTATAGAGATAAGTTAAAGTATTACCAAGTAGTTTTTGTACAGAAAAGTAAACAATGTTGTTACTTATTCTTTATTTTATTTTCTCTAGGGAGACTCATTCAATTGTGTCATCTATCATTTTATTCTGCTTGAAAATAACTGTTTCAGTAGCTTGATTGAGAACTCAAGTTAGGAAGTTATTAAATACACTACTTCTACATTTGACTACCACAAAAATAAGAGAAAGGCATGTGGATGCCATCCTACTTGCCCTCTTCACCAGTTTTATTCATCCATCAGTAGACCTATCATTCTAAAGGCAGAGCACAAATAATACTGCGGAAGCGTAGCACCTTAAACCATAAATAAAACTGTGAATAATGCTAACAAAATAACTGGAATTCCTCATATTTTTTTTCCCCCAAAGTGTATTATAATTGCTGAACAAGTTTTTAAAACTCTGATGTGCACTATAAATATATTTAGAAAAAAAAAATGCAGTATTAGGGTGAGCTGGGAAACAATGCTACTTTTTTATTGTAAAACATCTCCCTGTTCTGTTTTAATTACAGTACTCAAAAATATGCATACCTGTTGGGTATATTCATCCCGATTTGACATCAGAAGAAATCCACCATCATCAAGGATAACACAGTCCACATGCTATTATAAGAAAGCAAAATACGTTTTGTAGAAATGATTTGTCAAGAGAAACGTCTTTATTCTATACTTCAGAAACATCTTCAAACCTATGTGGCCAAATCACAACCTCATAGCCAAGGGCCAATATTATGCTAAAATAAGTAGCGTTACCAGCATTATAACAGTTTGAAGAGATCAAAAGCCTATTTGTGACTTAATTTCATGGAAGTTGTTTTGTAAATTCTTATTTACTCAATCCTTTGTTAGCTGTAAGAGTGCTATATCCATATTAAATCAGATGATAATTGAATCTGTGCTCATAATAAGGGACTACAACTCGTAGTGTGCTTTCAGCCACATGTAAAACCTTTTACTATTTGCAGCCTCTAAAAGTAAAGGCCCTAAAGACAGATTCTGAGCTTGTGATTTGAGATTAATTTCACATTTTTGTATATTTCATGCTTGCCTACTTAGTTCCTTCCATGTGTCAGGTGCAGGACTGGAAAGCCCACTGGTTCCCTATATTCTTTTAGCTGCTTTCAATCGGAGATTAAGGAGATAGCGGTGAGGCCCAAAGTACCCTTTTTCAATGTAACCCCTCCATTTAACATTCTTCTAACTCCACAAAAGATCTTAGAGAAGACCTTGAGAGAGGAAGCTTTTAAGCATATGGCAGAATCTGATACTGCAATAGTTGCTGAAAATGTGTTCTCCTGTGTGCCAGCAGAGTTATGGGATTCCCAAATCCTAAACGGGCAGGAAAAAGAGGAAAGGAGGATGGCTAATCATTGTTGAAAAGTACATCACATACTTTGTTGCTTTTCAGTTTGCATTTACCTTTTTCTCTAAGGTACCCCTCTTCTAGATTCTTTTTTCTTTTTTTCTTTCTCTTTTTTTTTTCTGACTTGTATTCCCATTTTTGCCCTCTCCTCTTTTAATTTTCTCCTCAAGACATAGGTCACTAGGTCTCATTTTCAAAACTCTAATCTTCAAAAAATATCATGAAAGAATAATGCTCAATGCATCATTTGTCATTATCTTACAGATATTCAAAAACTGAACATATTCTTACCATACTATTTTTTTCACAGCCACAGATTTCACTGTTGCACTAAAAAACAGAAAGACAGCAATCTTCACAAAAATGTTTCATAAGAAACTGTATTTCGCAGTGATATTTATCAAACAAGACAAGAAATGATGTGATTTTTGATATCTGTATATTAACCTACTTTAGGGATACTGTGTGTGTGTTATTTGTCACAAGTACATAAAAACAGTCTGCATTCAGTAACTATCAACAGCACAGTCACTACCAACTTCACAGCTACTCTGGTCCATTTCTCTTTTTGAGAATGGTCAGAGTATTAAAGATAAAGAACTTCTTTCTATTACAGTTTGAGGGACTTCTCAAGACTTTGGAGTTGTGAATATAAAATACAAGAGAAAGAACATGTGTATTTGTATGCTTCTATTTTGTGTATGTCAAGAAAGCCTAGAAAACATGATGCCAAGTATTTCTTTTTGACTGAATAGCTTCACTAATCTCAAAGTATGGAAATCTCATCTGATAAAGGAAACCCACCATCTCCACTTAGTTTTGATTACTAGCACATTTCTGTTTTTCTTGCAATATGTGTGTACATAAACACGCAACTGATTCCTTGCATTATGTCCTGAGCAAAACAATCAGCAGATAATGGCGGAGTTACTCATGTCAAACTAATTATGAGATGTTACTCTCTTTTTCATTATTCTTCTTTTCCTTAAGGTTCTGACATTTTGGGCAATGCATTTGCCTACCCATTGAACTACAGCTCTAATACCTAATACAACAAGCGTAGACACTGATTCCCTTAATATACAACCAAGCAACCAAAATTGCCTCGTCCAGTTGTTCCATAACTGTCTCCATTTTATGCCTTTCTCCTTTCTCGGTGTACTACATAGTTGTTTACCTTTTCCCTCAATTTTTGTTTTTCTTCTTCACACTTAAACATAGATATGAGAAATGAAAGGGCTGAAATGCTGTGATGTTTATTGCAATATAAATCCTTAATGCTTACACTTCCTCCACATTAAATTTACAAAAAAACCCAAAAAAAACAAAAACAAAAACAAACATCTTTTTTTCCCCCCTTTTTTTTGTGAGGGAGGAGGAAATTATTTTGCAGGTTTTATTCACTAATAGAGAATGATCATAGTAAGCCGCCTGCAGGCTAGAGTATGACATTTTTCTTTGTCCTTTTCCATGTTCTATAATTATGAAAGCAAGACACGTACAAAATACAGCCTGTTTCAACATAGATGTATTTTGTGCATTTGGATGATTTAAATACCACAACTACTTGGCAAATATGCATCAGTGTGACTCTGGCACAAAAAAAAGCTGTTAGACTTATTTGCATTTGAAACTTTGAGAAATGAACATAAAGTTCAAAAAAGACTTGGTCAATTGCTTACCAGGCTCTTGATTGTGGTTTTTGTGAAATTTTCCATCCATCTGGTTACATCAATTTTTATTCCAACAACTAACAAGAAATACATGAAAGACTTTTTTAGTAAAATGAAAAAGAAAAAAGGTAACTGTAGAATCCTATGAAGAGAGAAAAATTGTAAGAGAATCTAAATTATTAAACTGGAAAAGGAAAAAAATATGAGTTTTGCTCAGTTGTCTGATCACCAACATCCTTCATAAGACCAACAAATTTAAGTACTCTTTCTCAAACACAGACAGATCTTTTGATTTCCACTAGTAAGATTAAAAATTTTAGAGAAAAGAGTACTATAGAAACTGAAACTCCTTTGAAATCTCCATTAAAATTTAATGTTGAGCAATAGCAAAGTAACTCCAGTATTTAGAGTTTTAGCACCGTTTTAGCTTACCTGCAGGTTTCAGAAGTTTTCCATTAATTGTAATTTCCACTGCCTTGCTTACCATAATACCTGATTCATAGCTATTGGCACCGCTTTCTGACAGTATGTTTGGGGGAAGAAAGAAAGAATTAGAGTGAGATATAAATTTCTTCTTTTGTAATTGAAATTAAAGATGGTTCAAATATCAAGGACAATTCAAAGAATTCTTATTTGAAAACCCTGACGCAATTGTACATTGTATTTCCCACTTGTAATTGCTCAGACCACTAACACCTAGATAATTAAGAGAAATACTCTTTTCAGACTTCCTTCACGTTTGGTACATGATCTTTGCACAAAGTCACTGTAGCCTTTCGTCTACAAACACAGCCATGATAATGTTTCATATGAGAGCAGCTCTGTTAAAACTAGGATCAGAGCCAAAGATTTTATCTTGCTGTTGTCTGTGTTTTTTAATACAGAGTATACTATCACCACTCACTAATGACAATTACTACTCTGACAGACTTCAGCATGTTTTCAACACTACCCAGTATGAAAAAGCAAGTTAAAAGTACATTACCTGGAGCTCTTTGAGGAACAACAAAGGCTTCAGGGAATTTATTTAATAACCTTGTTAACATTTTATTGAGAAAAGATGTAATAAATACATGTGAAATAACAGTAATAAAAGATCCATATGTTTAAAAGGGGGAGTATGTCATTTGTAGTAGCATCTGCTTTTAGATCGGCTTGGCAAGGTTAATGCTGCTTATCAGTAACAAGCACTTACTATTGTGCACATACAGGTTTTAAATATCACAGTATTTCAGATGAACAATTTTTGGTTTGTAATAGTGATTTGAAAAATGTTTTTTTTTTTTTTTTTAAAAAAAAAAAAGCTTAGTTTAAGCAGTTCAGTGGACAATTGTAGACTCCAAATACCTGCTCCCCTATATCTGAGGAAATACACAGAACTCAGCTCAAATACGGCTTTTAAAGTAGTGTTATTCTTCAGTTTTAGATAATTCTGCCAAAGCATCTTTAGAAACCATTTTTCCAGTCTAATAAATGAAAACAAATATGCTCTGTATTGTCTCAGCTTTGTTAATTTTTTTTGCATACAGGGCCATCAATGTAGATGACAAATTATTATGTCCCTTGTTAGGTGCTTTCCCAGCTATCTTTTCCTTAATAATAGGTTACATCCCAAGATTTCTTTCTTTTTCAAGTGTTACACTTGCAACCTTTGTCACTGAGCTCAATTGTCACAGGAAACTTCCAGAAATATTCTAATATTGCACTAGCTAGCTCTGGACTTTTAGAACAGTGATGACTTACTGTTGTAGTAGGGAGCTGTGAAAATATAGTTGTCATTATCTAAACTTCGTTTATAGAAACTGACTTCATAAGTTTCTGCATTTTCCAACCAATCTTCTCCTGCCCTAATCACAAAAAAATAGCAATTAAAAAAATAATAATAATAAATAATAAAAAAATGGTTAGCATCGCATTAATGCTGTGCTGCACAGGGCTTTGTTGCTGTTTTCATTTGTTTTAATATTTCATAGTTGTAGATAACGTGAGATTCACCTATATAGTCATCAGACTTCATTAGCTTTAGCCGGTTAAGTGCCAGAAATAACTAGTAAAATATAAAGTTGAAGGGGAAAAAAAAAAAAAAAAAAAGTATTATTAGTACAACATGGACCTTCTCTCCTTATTTTTAGCTGTACTGAGATAAATATAACTACAGCACTATTTACATCAAAATATAAACAAACCTTGATACCACATGCTATCTTAAGAAAACAGTATCCCAAAAGACTTTAAAACATAAAACATTAATAACACCAGAATAAAAAATAAACTGATCTTATTAGTAAAATCCATTTTGCGGAAACAAAGAAATCAGGTAATTTTGCCATTTACAGCATATCTGTACCTATACTCTTACTATTGCTTGTCAACAAAGGGAGTATTTAGGTGATTATATGTACACTTCAGCATTCTCTTTTCCCCCTGTGACAACAACATATTTTTCTCTCTTAAGTCCCTGAACTATTCAGTATGATTCTGTTAGTCTGAAAAAAAAATAAAAATCATCTACTGCTCTACAGTGAAGACTGCCAGCTTATCAAACAAATGAATGCTTAGGAAAATTAGGGACTAACACGGTTCCACTATCAGCACATGAGTACTTTTACTTCTTTACACAGATCTGGTTACAGATCAGTTACAAGCAGCGATATAAGTAAAATCAAAGAAAAATCATCCAATTTATTGTATAGTTATCAGAGCAGGTTTAAACATTTTCATTATCACCTTATAGTCTTTCATAGTAATAGTTACCTTTTGGGGAACACTCTGGTAATTCCACCATCCGTAACAACAAACTGTGCAACAACTCCATCACTATAAACAAAAATAAGATTAAAAGTAAAAACTGAAGTTCTCTTAAGTTCAAGGGTACATAATCATGATTTAAATATCCATCCTGTACAAAGATTAACTGTGTATCTCTTTATATGCATATGAATTACATTGTTAGGAGATCATGAGAAAGATTATGTTTTCTTATTTTTCAGGCTTCTTGTTTGTTTTTCAGACTCCAAAATTCATTAATAACAACAAAAACAACAAACAACAACAACAAAACAATCAACAGAAAGAATACTTACAGATACAGTTTACTCCAATAATTTTGGGCAAGTTCATTTGTAAATCCTGCATCCAGCAGAACTCTAATGACCATATCAGTATTACCTAGTAAAAGAGTCAAGACACTCATCTGAAAACATATGACATGGGGCTTAAGCCACTAGAATTAAATTCTGAGTTGCTAAGACGGTATCACCACCAAAATTAGGCTCTTTCTATGGTCATTCTGACTAACTTCAAGTTATGTCAAATATTGCACGTTAAACAAGCTGCTCTAAAACTCTTGATTTTGCTTAAGTTTTTCCAATGTTTTACCAAAGGAATAAGAAAATTGCTTGTAGCATCAGGTCTCAACTTTTCAAGGTCCCATTTAGTTTGGAAATAAACTGATTTTTAAAGCATGCTTCCATTGAAAAGCTTTATATTCCAGTTTGAGAAAGTTTCAACAAAACATTTAAGTTTTACTGAATACTTACTCTCTTACATGTTACAAAATCAGAGATAATCACCACAATTTAAAAAATATATATATTTAAATTAGTCAAGTCCCAGCTTAAAAAAAATAAAATAAACAACAACAAAAAAAAAACACCCAGAAACAACAACAAAAAGGCACAACTATTTGTCTTTTGAATTAGTGGCCTAGACGGATGTATTGTTTTTAAAAATCTTTCAGTAGATGGCTTGAAGTCAGTCCTTCTCAATCGTACTTTTTAGTATAATGCAAAAAAAAACAAAACTTCTAGGAATGGTCAACTAAACTAAACATGCACTTTACAGATTTAAATATCCATTTAATATTTAATCAATACTGAAAATATTATGGAGCTGAACTGTAACTGAATAATGTAAAGGGAAAATCTGGCTTTTGGTCTTTCATACACATTTTATGATTTGATAACATTTCGGCGTAATGACTTAAGCCCTAGCATATACAACAATATCACTAAATGTACTCTCAATATTAGCTTGTACAACTAGTGAGTATTAAACCAGAGTTTTCATTTGTTATGTGGTATAATCATTTGAGGCAAATGTTTTCACTTTCAAGGCTTGAGTCAAAGGACTCAAGAAACATTTTGGTTATTCATTGACATAAGTGAGTAGAATTAACTTTTTTAAAAAGAACTCCCTTCTGCTCCACCCTCCCCAATAGGTTTTTAAGACAGTTTCATTGGGAGATTTCATTGGGAGATTTTTTAAGCATTCAGTACTTTCAATACATGGTCTTTTCTGGATGAAAGCTACAATGCTGGACCTTCACCTCAAATTGATCACTTCAAAGTGATCCCATACAGCAACATGGTACCAAAAAAGCAAGGATAAAAAAGTGTTTATTCAAATTATTTATAAACTGTTAATAATGCTAAACAGATAATGCATAAAAAAAATCTAAATATTTAATTTTTCACGAGAACAGGACTTTAACATAATACTGGTGGTTTGATTAAAATGTTAAAGTCATTCTAAATGGAGTTTAAGGCAAAATTTAAATATGTGAGTACTATCTCAAAGTCCAGCGCTCACCAGTGCAGCAATTACATCCGTCTATGATCTTAAGCCCAAGTGAAGTCTCTTTTACCAGTCTGTGAAACACTAATATAACTCTCTTATCTTTTATTTTGATTTTTACATTGGTTCTCAGTGCTATCTATTTAGTTATTTTGTTATATAAGCTGACAAGAAAATAGGCATCTTGAGATCCTCTTTGATTGATATGCTCAAGAGGAAAAACTATCAGTTCAAAATATTTGGAGTGCAGTAAAACAAATTAGTAGTTGATTGCTTCAAAACATAATGCTGAAAGGAAGCATGCAAAACATGGGATGCACAGTGCCCTGCAATCACTCTTAAATGAACCTATATAACTCCAAACTAATTTTGCAGTCTATCTTGGATAAAAAAGTCCAACACCAGATGTATTCCTATTTTTTTAAAAATCAGAGATTAAAAAAATACAACAACAATGTGTGATTTGGGCATGGAAGCCTTCAGATTGACTAATTTTCACTTATAAGTAAATATTATTTATAAGAAAATCAATGAATTGAAAAGAGTACTTACATGATGGACTGCTTGGAGTATTTCTATCAATAAACTCATTGAAATTTAATAAAAATTCAGTGTTGTTTTCTGATTTCTTTACATCAGTACAATATTCTCTGAAAAACAATAAAACATTAGCCTTTTCAGATTTGTTTTGTATGGTTCTGAAGCAGATCAACAATCTGAAAGTCCAAGGAGGTCTGTGCCACTATTGTGAATGGTTGGAACCACTGCTGTAGTTCTGATCATAGTCAGTATTTCAGGAAATCAGGGTTCTGGAGCCTGCTTATATCTGAATTATCATGCATTAGATAGGGCACAGATTCTCAGAAAAAAAACACTCCAGAGTCTGTAAATTAAACAAGGAAATGCCTGATGAAATTATACTCTATTGGGTTGAACTGTACTGGAAAGTATGTGGACTGCTGTTGGAGACACTGTCACTTTATGTTCAGCTAACAATGGATTTATGGGCTGAGATCCTATCTTCTATGAAGGCAATTTTAATAAGGTACACACCCCATACACATAAATGCTTTCTGTTTTGACATAGGCAAACCAGATGAACATTTAAACTACTGTCATTTTCATAATGTTTGAAAGCAGTATATCAGTGTGCAATTCACTGAATACAAGCAAGCACAATAAAAGTCACTGGGCATTTTCAAGGCAAATGTTTAATGCCATTCGCCATCTAATAACTCTAATTAAAATGTAGAGAACATTCAGCAGTCAAGCCAGGAGTTCATTTTTTAACAGAATTATCTATATTAAATTAACTTTATGACCAAAAGAAGCCTGAGTATCTAATTAAGCTATCTTATTAATATTTACTTATTTTATCATTAACCTTAAAGATTTCAGGCATGATTTGGTGTACTGTGCCACCATTTGCATTTAAAGAAAGCTCCATATTAAACAGTTTTTTCATGTAGATCAGTTTGACAATTCAAAACTTGCTGGAAACTGCTAATTGGTACAATTGATCATCAATAACTTCAGTCCTTTAGAAAAATTGAACAGTTATTCTCAGAACATGTTTGAAGGTAGAAGGCTGCATCTTACATCTGTCTTACATATGAATCAATCAAAAAGAATCTAACTTTAAAAGGATTCAGAATTATATAGGATAAAAAAAAAGAAATGGAATAATTTTTTAAACACCTTTGTGTTATTTACCATAATTAACTTCCAAAGGAACTTAATTTCTCAGAGTGCTGTTTCTCTTATTATAATAAACACATAATTACAAAGACAACCAAGACTGCACAGTTTCACAGGAATAAAAAGAAGGAACTAACAAACTGACTCAATCAGTTTTCAATGACTCAATCAAAATCTATGTTCAATGAATCAAAAATTAATTAATCCTTAAGTGATAGAAAGCTTTGAAGCACTTCTTTTTGAACTGGAAAAAAAAAAAAAAAAATCAAGGTAAGTATTATGGTAGCTATTCTATAAAAGAGAAGCTAGAGTACAAAGCAATAAAATCTTAAAAGATGCAGCCACGAGAAATAGACAGATGTGTAAAAGACTTCCATTAAAAACATCAATAAATGATGACATTAAATTTTACAGCTCCCTTCATTTAACACAAAAATGAATAATAGCCTGAAGATGCTGTCTACCAAGTAGAAAAGGCTGATCTTTAAAAAAATGGATTTACTTTTTTATCTTTTTATAACTCAAAAATTTCATTTGTCAATTCTCTATTTTATTAATATCCTTAACCTGATCAAATTCCTATTTATTGCTGAAATAATACTTACTACTGGGAAATTAACCAACCTTGGTGCTAGAAACGTATAGCCAGCTTCATCAAAATTATCAAGCTTCAGTGTTTCTGAATCTACAAAGATGAACAGTGAAATCAAGTAAGCAAATGACTTATCAATATCCTTCTCAAATGTCTGACTAGCTTTTGCATGCGTTTGTGAAATAAAAATGTTCATTTTGCAACACTTTCTTACTAATATACTGCATACTTATCAGTATTACACAGTTTAGGATGAAATTATTTGATATTTATATACAACACACACTTGGCAACAATACTGTATCTAACAACCTAATTAGAGGTGACATTTAATTAGCATGAAATTTTGTATTACATTAGAGTTACAGTCTGATACAAAGAAATACTTGGGACAAAGATTTGTTAGAACATGAAAAATGCTTATAGAGCTCTTAGCCATAATATTTAAAAAACCTTGCCTATGTAAACATCACTTTCAGTGCTACCTGAAAATAATGGCTTCAAAAGTTGGCATTACTGAATACCAGGTGAAAGGACCAGACAAACAAGGAGTAGAGATTAGCAACATACTGAAATATGTATGAAAATAGAAAAACACTTAACAACTTTTTTTTATTTTCTATTGTTGTGGTACCCAATGGGAAAAGTCCTGAGATGAAGAATACAGAGGAGAATGTCCGGTAGGAATAGAAATACAAGTGAAAAATTTCAACTGCAGTAAACAGAAGGAAATTGAGCAACAAGAATATACTTGCCCTTTTTGATTGTCACTATCCATCAGAAAGAGAAAGCAGGGAAACAGAAAAAAACAGGGTAAAGCAAAAGGGGTCACAAAACAATATTTTATTCAAACAATCCCTTGAATAAAAATATTGTGCATAGAAAGATCAAAGGTTCAATTTATGTACAGTTTAGTCTGGAAAAAAGACAAACATCTTTGAACAGTGGAGAATATGTCCTCATCAATCACTTCTCAAGTACCTTCTGTGCTAGCCACCATGGTGGCTATTTCAAGGGTCTGTTCTGTAGGTTACATTCATGTAAGTATAAAACCAGATTATCTAATCCATTAAAAAAAAAAACAAAACAAACAAACAAACAAACAAAAAAAACTGCATTCACTCACTAAAACTTAAATTTTAAACTACTTATGGTATGACAAAGTCATGAAAATAAATCTCTGATTATTGAAAACTTGCTTTAAATCTTCATACCAAGGAAGTGAAGGTAGAGGACACTGATTTAGTGCTCGTCAAGTATTCTCTAAACTACCAGTTTATACCTGTCAGAGAGATTCACAGCTATTCAAACCTTAACTGCACATTTTTACAAAGGATGTGCTGAGTTCTATTTTGTTTACTATCTAGATCACTATGCAAATCTACTACTTAGATCTAGTTAACTACATCTAGTGGATGAAAAGCTTTTCAATACTCACAAGTATAATTCCCAATTACCTCTCCAGAATCTGTAAATGGCTTGAAATTAGTCTTATAAATATATATATATTACAACCATCCACTAAAACTATCTTTAGAATGCAAAACAAAAACCTAGCTGCAAGCCAAATGAAACAATGCTTTTACATTTATCTATTTCTACAGGCATCAGACATAATTTGCTAAATATGATACTGCAACTACTGTAAATAAGATAAAATAAGCTCTACTAATATAGTCCATATCCTAGTATTTAGCTAATAGAGTGAAAAAAAATGGTGTCCAGACCCTTAAAAAGACAGCAACAGAGGATACACAAAGCAATGATTCTATAGGTACATAGCAAGGGGAAAGGGACTGTCAGTGAAACTGGGTACCTGCACATATTCTATCTTTATAGAATATTTCTTGTACCTTGGATGTTACAATGAATTAGAATCATTGCTCCAGATTTTGGGTACATTATGATAACATTAGTGAATTCAAAAGAAGCTATGAATTTTAAACATAATTTTTGTTTTTTTTTAAGTGAATCTGAGACTTGGCAATACTTGACAAAACCAGGGAACCTTCATAATACTTACATCTGGCTTGAGTTATTGGTTCTTCTATTTTAGCTTTAATATAATAAAAGCTGTATGATGGTAACACCAATGCCAAACTGCAAGAGAAACCAGATAAGTAAAACAATTGTTATTTGCAGCCATTTCTTAATTTCAGCTTTTAAGTGTTTTGAAACCTTTTAAGAAGTTTGGAAATTGGATCCTCATGTGATGAAATAGTTACATGGAGACATAGCAGCCTCATACTTTGTAATAGGTACAGGTAGGTACAACAATGTCAAACAATCAAAAGTCAAACATTTAGGCATAAATGCACTTCCTTCACGGAAGAGAAGTTCATTTCAAAAGAAAAAAAAAAAAATTGCAAATAATAAAAATCATGATTTCTTGTATCTTTCTCTAACACATTTCACATCAAAATTTAGCACAAGTCAACATGGTGATCGACTGTAAAAAACAGCATATAATACTGCACTTACTTGCATGCAGCATGTAGACAAACTCTGAAAAATATAAAACACCTACTGGCACATATGAGGAAAAATATCTAGCGGTATTTAAATTCACTTTACATTCAAGCCATACAATATTTTTCAGAATCATGAGGTCACTTCTAATAACCTTTGAAATCACACTGCAATAATTTAAAATTTGCAATGCAGAGGATTTCTTTTATTTTACATATATTTTTCTTGAAAACAAACCAACAAACACATAGAAATAAGATCCCTTCTTGCCACTAATTCTATACACATGTAGAAGTGAGAAGTGCTCCGTTTTAAAAAAGGTATGTAAATGACAAGAGGTGTAAATCATCACTAAAGAGGTATCATCTCCCAGACTGCATTCTTATTCAGTTTTTATGAATGCAGAACTGCCATGGTTTCTAATGCAGAAATTAACATTAAAAAAGAACTTGTACAATTGGCCATATATGAGATGACTTTTTATGATACAGTCTATTTAAATGGCACATGTAAGTGAGAGCTCTGCATATTTGGTGATAGCCTTCTACGAATTCTCCTCTAGGGAAATCACTTGCAGTTTACTTGCCATTAGCAGTTACTGCTAACAGAAATTGCTAATTAAAATCTATAATTTTATGTGTAATAGGCTTGCTGCAATGCGACTCCGTGGATATATTGCTGAATCTCAAACCAGGGAGCTTGAATTAAGAATGCATGTAAATCAAATATAATTCTTTACCAATTGCTAGATGGCATACTATGATAAAAAATCCTCTTTCCACTGAATGTAATGATAGAAGTAGTAGAACATAAAAATGGAGTAATGAAAAAAAGATAAAATGTTATATCTATGTTCACTTGTTAAAACTGCTTTGTTTGGTTTTGCTTACAAATTCATGTTTGCTTTCGTATTGGCTGTACACTTGTATAGAACATAGTAGAAAACCAGCTCAGATGAGAACTGCTGTAATTCATCACAATAAAAATATTATTTTTATTAAAAAAAAAGTTGACTCAGTATTTGCACCATCTAGTTAAACCTGTGTGATTGAGTCTGAAATGATATACACAACAATGTTGCATTCAAGGGGGGCAAGCTTTTACAAAACCCTTCACTTGCTCCTGCTGCCATTCATATGTGACACAGCAGTACTGGTTCTAATTAGTTAAAATTTGTCACAAATAGATATAAATTTCAGAGAAAATCAGTAGCACAGTTCCTACCCCTAAGATCTGGTAGGTATGTTAGCAATGTCATGATATAAGCAACACTGATTGTAAGAGATTTGCACTGAACTATATGCTCCATTTTTTATTTGGATGAAAATATAGCATCTTTCTTCTAATATGCATATTAAAAACAAAAACATAAGGCAATGCAAAAAAATTATAAAATAAAAGGAGGAATCTAAGAGAAAGTGTACAATTAAGAATCAAAGTAACGATACAGAAAGTAGGAGAAAATAAGATTCAACCATAAAATCCTTTTTTTTCCTGCATGCTGAAATGCACTAGTTGTTAATCTCAACAGCTGGCAAGAAAACTGAGGTGCTGGTCCTTACACAGAGTCACAATTCTGGGCTGCAAATGCTTAAAGGAATCCAGCAAATCCCACAGGTGAGATGACTTGCCCTGATTTAACTATTGTAGAAAGTATAACGTAATAGATACTAACCAAAATAAATGAAAAGGACATTTAACTACACAAAATCAGAGAACAGAGATGAGTTACCTGTAATCAGTGCCATTCACAGCGGTCCACGTATATGTTCGATTTCCTTTATCAATGTATCTCTGTAAAAAAATATTAATGAATAAACTAATTATTAATTCCAAAGCTTCAAGAAACAGCTTTTGCATTGCAACATTACATTTACTGATAAAAGGTTCCACAAGTATATGTCTATGCCCTTTCTTTCACTGTAATAAAAAGAAAGTGTGAAAATGACCACGGTAATGAAAAAGAGGTGTCTTTTTTGACTTTTATGATTCAAAACCATTTCATTACCTGATTGTTTCTTTTCAGTACAGCATGATAGGGTAGATCACTTAGTCATTTAGGAAAAAAAATAAATAAATTAAAAATATGCACGTATTAGTGGCTGATGTCCTGGTATATTTTATATGTAAGGTAAAAGGATGGGTAAACAGACACCCTTATAATCCTATTTATTTTTAATAATGTGACTATACTATTACTTCAGCTCAAGAATAGCTAAATACTTGAATATACCTTTAATCATGCATAGTGCCATGGTTTGTAGATGTACAATGGCAATAGAAAAACAGTTCCTAAGGTGGGAAGGCAGGAAGAGAAGAACAGGGCTCTTATGAAATGCTTCTACTACCAGTTCTTCGAGGATGCTTAAAGGCAAATTAGCTGAAAGCTCCCTCCAAAGACTACATTGCATATTAGATGTCCTCATATGTTTGCTCCTATTTACCCTTGCCTACTTTATTACCGAGCCATCTGATTCTATCTCACCCTAGCTGGTCACTGCCGAAGAACCTACACATTTCAGTTCTTGTGATCCTTCAGTTTGCACTGCTGCATACCCCAGCAGCCCAAATGTGGCAGTGCTTTTGTTTCTATGGCATCCTCTCCATTAGTTGGAAAGCCCCTGAGGCCTTGGAAGACTCCAGCACACCCCACCCACGCTTGCTATGAGTCCAGTTTCTATGTTGTACTTATGAGGTCATCTCCCAGGACACTGCTGGGGCCAGCTGCAATACAAAAGGGAAGCAATGCACACTTAAACCAAAAAGCAAAAAAAAAAAAAGGACATCAATTTCAAGCCTCAAGACTGCAACTGTCAGTACAGAGCAACAGACCACATCAGCCATTTTTATAAGAAAATATATGAAGCTATCAAATACTAAGTGATGAGCAGTTCACGGTCTGAAGCAGCTTTATTCTGGCTCTAGCAGCCTGGAGCTGGGAGAATGCAATAGTTTGAAGCAGTCACCATTGCTGGCCAGCTCTGGCTGCTCCCTTCTCTCTAAGGGGTCCAAGCAGAGGAAAAAATCTTGGTCCACGAAGCAAGGTAAGTAGAGGGTAATTACTTTCATTTGGTTCTTGAAATATTTGGGAACAAAAAGCTTGAGATATTCTATTCAAATACAGTTTGTGGTCTGGGCTGTGCATGACTGACACATTCTCAGGCACCCAGGAACATCATGTTGCTCCTGATGCTGTAGCTGATGCCAGCATTTGCCCATGTGAATTTGCCCCTCCCTTGCTTTTCTGGTAAACTGCTGGAGGAGTGACTGCTCTGGTCTTTTCACAATGCACCACAAAGTCTTAGAAATGTGGGCATGGCCTGAGATCTCTTTGCCATGAATTCAACTTCTTGTATAATTCTAACGATGTTAACGTCATTTTCTGTTAATTTCTCACTTTTCTGACCACTCACACAGAACTCTTTTTTTACCCATAGACTTGGAAAGCTTCTCCTTATCCAAGCCAACAGCACAGATCTATAAATGTCTGACATATTATTGTAAGGCACCCCATTCAGGAGCAGTTTATCCTCAACACAGATTCCAGGTGGACTTCAACATGAAAAACAAACCAGAGGCAAAGATGGGTTCATGAAACAGAGAGGCAGCAGAACTGACATCAGATGGGGCTTATCCCCACTGTACCATGAAAGCCCTATTTATTCACTGTCCTCCAATAGTGAAACTTTTCCACACAATGGCATTCCTCTATAGATTGTAAAGCCTTAATAAAGGCCTGGGATGGAGCCCCTCCTGCGTGAAAGCACAAAGGAGAAGCCTAGCTGAAGGCATAGGGACAGGCCTCTGCTTTAGAAAAGGGGAAGAGTTGAAAAGCAGCACAAAGCTGGTACACAGAAGTAATGTGGGCATGTTGATCATGGGACTCTAAGTGCATTGCACTGGGCAATTTAAATATGTCAAGTTTGAGGTAAATCCGCTTGTCTCAAAAACAGAAGCAGGAAAGCATCACTGCCATTTACATGGCTACTTGATCATCATTACCACTACTGCTCAAATAAAACTATCTACATTCACATTTGACTGCCCCCATTGAAGTGGAGTTCTCAACTCAAGAAGAGTCTATGAAGTTCTGCACTTTCTAAATAGAGTATCAGAAAGAAGATCATGCACAACACAGAGTCAAATTACCTAGACTCTGCAGTATAATACACAGAAGGGTTGTGTACTATCTGTCTGATATTTTCTTCATATTCTTGTGATAATTCTTTACATCAGCTAACTTCAAGATGTTTTACACTCTTTGCAATAGCCTCAAGTTTTAGTTTTAGAACTGTAACTGTGGGGCACACTCAGACCATATTTGCTCTTCTGGCAAACCGATCATTATTTCTTCTCATCAAAGTTCCAAAGAAGAAAGGTAAACATGTAAGGATCCGTATCATATTTCAGTATTTCCTTTTGCTACGAAATATATCTGTTTTATTAGAAAAACTCAGAATGATCTGTCAGGAGTGAAGATTTTGGACATGAAATTAAAAAGAACTCAACAAGCACAAGATCAGAAAGCAAAAGTACACAGGACAGCTGTAAAATGACTTTGCTTATCCCAAATAGGCCTCATTTGTGGCATATAAATGTTAATTTCTTTCTCACTACTTTATCTATTAAACTGAAATATAAACCATCAATCTGCTTCTCAAACATCTCTGTAAACAAATTAAGTACTTGTTTTTGAGTTTTACGCACAGGAGTAGGCTGGGTCTACTTCTTGGTGAACAGAGTATAAGAGCTCATCAACAACTGCCTGATTAATGATGTATCAAAGAAATCAACAATCAGAACAATTCTCTTTCATAAATACATTACTTCTTTTCGTCTAATACAGCAAAATGAAAATCTTGGAGAAAAAAAAAAAAGTAATATTAGCTAACATAAAAAAGTAAACATCTTTTCACCATTTCACTGTATTTTGATGTTTTTGTTTGCTTCTGTAAATGTCTGTGTTTCTGTCTTACCTCATCCTGGGACTTGACCAGAGTTTCAAATGTTTTTTCTCCACTTTCTCCATCTATCATTTTTTTTCGAATCTATTAGCAATAAAAAAACAAATTTAAAAAATAAAAACTAGTTGTCGCATATAACATGATTAATGTTTTCAGCGATCGCAAGTATTTTATATATACATAGAAAATGGTAATGCATTTGGAGCCACAACTGTTAATTTTTTATTTTTATTTTTTCTATTTTCAGATTTTTCTAATTAGAAGTTGCTTTATCAGAATTTGTACTGAATTAGTAGACTTATGAAATAACAGTTCTGGTATACTTTGCTTATGAAGACAATCTTATAAAAACATTTGATGTTCTGTAATAGGGAGAGTATGAATTCTGTATGAACAAGAATGAGTTTAGTCTAGCATTTCTAGTGCTTCCCAGCACATCTGATTCAGCTAGTTGCAGTGTTTCAGATACCTTCTTCAAACCAGTCTGAGAGTAATTTCTCTCTGAAGCAGCAGTTCTAAAAAGTGAAGGTAGAACTCAACAGATACCAAGAAGTGTTGATTATTGTCATCATGAAAGACCAATTTCAAATTGAAAATATGACTGTTTAAAAACTAAAAACCTAAAATAAAACTCCATTCTATTCTGAACAGTAGTAAACTTTTTTTTAAAAAAAAAGATTTTGCAATGTATTATAAAATAAATAAAAGAAATATATATATAGGAATTAGTTTTGATGTCAACATTTTCAATAACTTGATTTGTTAGTTCCTTCTCAGTTCCAGTACAGCAATAAGTTTGCATAAGTCAAAATCATTGTTGTTGCAGATATATATATATATTTTTTTAAATATTCCAGGTAATATTTTAACATCCTATTGAAAACTGTCTTGTTTTTTAAAAATTTACAAATTTTATCTTCCCTAAAATTACAACTTAATAAAGAAGACTGAACAAATATTATTTAAATAGTAATGATAGTGAATTCCAAAAATGAGAAGAATATTAAGTATTGTCTTTGCTTAACAATAATACTGGGATCAATTTGCAGTAATATTTCATTGTAATTTAATTACTATATAAGATCATAATCTTGAGAAATTTTAAATTGATTCTCTTTTGGCAAAATAGATTCCCATTCAAAATCTATAACATATATTTCTTCTCAGGTATTATACAGTAAAATACAAGCAGCAGCAGGAACTAAGAAACCAGTGAATCTTACCTCAACTTTAATATCATTTTCCAGTTCAGCATCTAGAAAATCCAGTGTTACTGGCTCCTGGGATTTAGGATTCTGAAGCAGAAGACATTAAATAATCAAATAATAAAGCTTGAATATTGTAATGTTACAGAGAGGTCCCTAGAAATCATTCCAATCCCTTCATTTTGAAATAAGCTACTTAACTGGGCTTACTTACCATTAACTTTTATCTCTTATAGCATGAAGAATTATGTCTTTGTCATTTATTTTATTTCATTGAATAGAGAGGCTAAGTGAGCAAGACAAAATCAGATTATCCCTAACAACTAGTGGCTGTCCACTGTCTGTCAAGCAGGGGGTTCCTGTTGGGAAGTTGCATCGCCTACTGCTGGTTTGCCACAGTAAAGTCAGAAAAGAAGTGTCCGGGAAAGCCTAGGGATGAATATTCCATTAGGCATCCTGACTCTGTGAAGGGAAAGCTGGGAGAGCTTTCTACCTGACCAGTAACATGGGATAATTGTACTACTTTGCAATTTTGCCAAAAGCAAGAATGCAGACTTGCTGTTTTGAGGTGGGAATAGACTGCTTCAAGACTCAAAGGTGCAGCCATTGTAACAAAGGATTTACCATAACAAAATACAAATAACTTTTATTGTGAGCATTATAGAATTTCCCTGAGCACCTGGCAGCTTCAAATGCATTTCTCTTGACTGCACTCTCCATTTAAGAGATGGAAACCTACAGTAGAGAAATTCTGTGACGTGGCACCGTTAAGACCCACGGAAGCTGTGATGATGCTCACCATCCACTGTGAGGCTGACCAGCACAGAGAAGTTAGTGGTATGCATCTGCCATATTGTTCTGGTGCTGGGTCCAGTCCTGCTGAACTAGCTTCAGCAAGTCAGCAGGCTTTGCTCTCTTCCCAGTTGCAATTCCCATTTAAATGAACAGAGCTGTGTTCCACATAAACTCTCTGGAATCTGACTATTATTTTCTTTTTTCTTTTTTTTTTCTTAAAGGAATTTTATCTAAGCCCTTTAGATTTTGTATTGCAGCCAAATATAATTAACTAATCTTAGATATGGTATAAAATCCTCAATTATCATCACTCAGTTAATAGATCCACTTAATGAAAGATCTTAAGAAATAGTTTAGATTTTTTTTTTAAATTATTATTTATTATTTTATTATTTATTATTATTTAACCATTTAAATCTGATATTTTAAAGGAGGAAAAGAAACAGTTTTATTGCATTCCTTCTGATTGATAATACATGTATTTTTGTAATAGGATGTTTTGTATATGGAAAGACCTCAAGACTTTTTTTTTTTTTCTTCACATTGGCACAGTTTTATATGTAATGAGTTCTGGTTCTCTTGTAGATAATTGCAACATAGAACATGTCACTACAACATAAAACATGTCTTTGGCTGATAGGAGTATTTCAAGATATCTGTAGGTTTTTGGGGGATTTCAGTGATCCAGCTATAATAAGTTAAGGGACATGCTGAAGTCCCTTCTTTCAAAATGATGTTTACTTTCCTTTTATGCTAGCACATGACAGAACTAGGAAATATACTCTGGCAAAGATGCATGACAAATGTACATGTCAATTCTATGAAAGCTTGTTTCATCACAATTTATATATGTATGCCCAGTTCATACTGGAAGAAAGTTGGTCTGAATAGCTGATAAGAGAGGCCTTTACATAATAATCTGGTGCTTAAAACTAGTCTTTGTTTTCAAGACTGCAATACAAAATAGTTTTAGAAGATTGCTCCCTCGTGTTGTTAAGGTACAAATATACATATTTCTGAGTATATGAAATTATTCACTTTCTTAGCAAGTCAGACTTGCTGTCTGCTAATGGAAAAGTAAAGATATTTATTCATTTACAGGAAAGATTTCAGACAAAGATTCTAGCTAATTTTTGCCTACTGATAACTTCAAAGTAATTTTAATGTTCTTATTTACACAAGATAGACAAGACTAGTAACTTAAATACAAAATAAAAAAAAAAAAAAAAAAGCTCTATGCTAATTCAATACATTCAATGTAGCTTTTTTCTAATGCATTTTGGTTTTTTTTCCCCAACATTCCGCACTCTCAAAATAAATAGCAAAAGAGCTAAAATGTAAAAATAAATAAAAAATGCATTTTCTTACATGCAATGGATAATGAATAGCATGGCCAAACCCAAACAGCATGCATGAAGGCATTGCCATGGCAGAAGTGGCATTTATGAAGTTCACATTCCATTTCAGCACACAAAGGAACAAAGAAAAGAAATGGTAAAAAAAGAAAAAAAAAGCCATCACATCAAATCAAGGTCAATATTCATTTCAAATGATAACCTGGGCTAGCCATAGTTAAGGAGTCCCAAAGGCAAATAGTAAACTAACAGTCTGACAAAACTCAAGTAGACATTCACAAGTTTTCTTTATTTAAAGACATATTATTCACCACATATTCTTTATAAGGTGCTTATTAGTGATATTTAATAGATGAGTAAACTAAGCATATATAGGGATACAATATGAGATGTGCTAGAGGCACAAAGAAATCTCTTAGAGATTACAATAGAAAATTCCTAGACCAGTATATTAACGGGAAGATGTTGTTTCCCCGCTATGCCTTTTTTTTTTCTCCCCTCCCTCCCCCAGAAAATATGTGTATTTACCAGTGTTTGGGCTCCATAATTTATTCTTCCTAGGTTGCCATTTTGCACGATTTATTCTAAGCCATGAAGAAACAAACTTACTGATCAGTTTGCTCTTCTCTTTATCCAGTCATGCACACAAGATGACTAGAATAAGCACAGCACCACTACATTCACCAGCACAACTTAATAAAACAAAACAGAAGTAAATCACTAGCAATGAAGCATGCACATGAAGAAAATGCAATCCATTTTCAGCTCAAAAAATAAAGGCAAAGTTCTATAACTTCAGTGACAAATCAAGAAGGAAATAAAGAAAGAAAGAACTGGTGCAGCAACAAAAAATATATATAAAAAAATGTGTGTTTTGAGAATGTCAGTATTCTCATAAATTCTATTGAAGGAATTCAATTCCTTGGTGTGAGGAATCTAGTTCGTGTTCGTACTTGGGATCCTAATGAATATTTGGGCTGTTAGGTTTTTAAACAAATAATGGCGAGAAGGCAGAAAAATCCTGGGCCCCAGAGGGAGTCACAAGAACAGCTTCCAGTGTGGGTGGATGCCCAGTGCTTTTCCAGAGCTGCACATCCCTGAGCAGATGGTACAGCCAGGATAAGCCAGCCACAGCAAGATCACACCGCGACCCACTGAGGAGCCAGCTGTGCTCTGAATATTGAGATGTTTTATGTTCTGATGATGATTTCTCCAGCCTAAACAGAAAATCTAGTCTGGAGACGGTCTTCTAGACGTTGTATAAATACAGCCACTTGAGACTCAGTGAAATCACCGATTGATCTAGATCAGGATTTTACACTATGATTTTAATAATGCTGCTATGCGAGCCACTGGATTTGCATCATGTATTTTCATATACGTAAAAAGTTAACCTGGTCTATTGCATCTAATTTTGTTATCTCGCCAGTAACATCATTAATCTAATCCTTTAATTTTTTTTTATTGAGTTTTCATTAGGTGTCTTCTGCTCAGGGATTGCATTACATAAATTTTACTGAATTTCCTTTTCCCTCTTGAAGTTGATGGTAGTTAATCCTCTGGATCTGGGTTTTCTAGTCTAAGAAATCTAATGTAAATAACAAGTAAAACATATGTGCTAGTCTGACTTCAATGGAAAAAGCAAAAGCTTTTATATGTTATATACTGTACAATTAAACTTGGTAATAAAATCATGAAAATGACCCTCTTGACTTAGGGTTTATGCAAGCATAGCTAACACAAGTAGTCTCTCTCTCCCTCTCTCTCTCTCTCTCTCTCTCTTCTTTTTTTCCCCAGCCTTCACGTTCATTTCAAAATCTGAGATAATTTTTGCAGCACGGCTCTAATTATCACCTATTAGTAAAACACCATAATTTAATGCAACACCCTTCACTACAGCCAATAACACGTTTTTTATTATTTAAACAAGGAAGGATGCAGGCTTCATGCTTTGGAAGCTGTTTGTCAAAGTAAACAGTTCTCTAGTTAGATTTTTCCTAGTAAGCAGGACAGAAGCTTTCTAATGTACTTCCAGGCCTATGCATTCTAGCGCACTAATCACCTCCATCCAAAGTTACCTGTACATGGGGTCTCCTTTTTCTCAAATTAACTTTTGGTATGCCCACACCAATTTGCTGAAGTAACAAAAAAGCAGTAATTTACTTTTTTACACTATTAATAAACAGACCACTTGTAGAAGTGAAATCTTTCCTACACATCTATATTCTACAGTGCACATGTACTGGAGCCAGGGACTAACCCTCATTCTGTTCAGGAATTCTGAACTCAATGTCAGAATTGCACACAGGTTTTGGTCTAGAGAAACAAAAAACAGAGAAATTTTAAACAGTGTAAATTAAGTTAACAGAGCTTTCCCTCCCACCATACTCTGCCAGAACTAAATTGTGGAAAAGAAGTTTCACCTTTTGCACCTTTTGTTTACAGTTCTATCTGCTCTTATATCTACATTCCTCTTACATTTCTTTCAAAAAGGTAAACCATAGGACCAAATACTGGACCATACTGAAAGCATGTGTGATTTTATAATTATCATTAGTTGGATTTTGATCAGAACCATAATGAGAATGAAGAAAAGAATGCTAATCCTTAGAAATGATTAAAAAAATAGAATTATCTGCTGTTTTTCAAATCTTATCTAATTAGAAATCATCTTGTTAACGTATACTTAATTTAAACTAACCACTCAATCCAGTGGATAGATTTATTTGGCAAGACAGGCACCTGCTCTTTCTCAGGACAATGAGAAAACACACACAGAGTACATATGCAGAAAAAATATAAAATTATTTGTTTAAAAGTGTAATATAAAATTATAAATACATATATTTTATTTAGTTTAAAACTGTATTAAACTGAAAGGTTAAAAAATATTTCCAATGTTATGCTTTGACATAGTTTTCAGACACAAAACAAAACACAAGGGAAAGTTTCTCAGATTTTTTACCTGTTTTCAATCTGTCTAAAATTTTTTGTCAGTTGTAGAAACAGATTTACAAGTTCAGAATTTCTAAAGGCTTTGTGTGTGTGTGTGAGATGCTACTGCAAGAAAATTTCCCAAAATATTGTGTTGAACCAGTTTTGATTTCAGATAAGATTTTCAGAAGGAAAGACACTCAGAAGAAGGTACTACTGAAAGTTTAATACACCCTCACCTCTTCAAAGGTAAAGACGTGGTTATGTTTTAGCTTACACCTACTGAAAAATTGCTGCCAAAGAGGGTTAAGATGTTGTTAGTTAATACGTTAATGGCTACCAGGATGTTCAACTAAAATTAATATGACATGTTAAAGAAAGTCCATGAGTTCTAAATACATCTTTCTTTATAGTGTACCTTAGTTTTAAAACGTAGTTCTTGTATCAGTCTGTATAGCATGCACCACCCCAAACAAACTGGGAGTGAAAAAGTCTAGTCTGTGTAACTGTTAATAACAATAACAATAATAATGCATATGCTTAATATTACATTTAGACATTATTCTATCACATAAAACACATCACATAAAATACCATTTTTTCAATATACTCTAAATCTATATTGTTCTATATTATTTTAATTAAAAAAAAAAAAACAAAAAAACAAAAAACAAGGCACCTACACAAAGAAACCATGATAATTAGTTTCCTCATAACTGTCTGCAGTCTGTCTAAGTTTAGCTGGAACTGAGTTTTTCGTTCTCTAACAAAAGTTCTTTACACTTTAGTGTTACACTGTAGAATAATTGCACATGAGGTGAACACAGCCTGTATTCATTAGTTCCTCACAAGATGATGCCTAAAAGAAGAATGCTACATTGCTTCATTTTATATTCCTTCTGTTAACAAAATTCTAGTTTTATTTGGAAAAGGTAAACTACCTGCCATTATCTGAATTTCTATTAATCTCTAGGGAAGAGAATGATGCAATATTTGTCAAAGAATCATTCATTAAGCATAATCATCAAATCAAAACTTCTAGTTTATCACATCATGAAAATCAAATGTGTTTATATGGAAATAGAAGTGCTTGTAAATTTTTAAAATCTAAACAAAGTCTTTTTCTTGTTTTTCTTTTTAAAGGGGTATTCCTGAAATAAATCAGTAGGGATACTCCATCAATAGCTAAGATCAAGTTACTTCTTCAAAAGCATGTTGTTGGTGTTATCGTACACACTTAGCAAAAGATTTCAAACGCATTCATTACTTCAGAAAGTTAATTCACATATTCATAATTCAAATTCCCTTGGCTTGAGAATTAAATGAATCATAAAGTAAATGAATTCTTCATTTATTCTCTGCCATTGGTAGTTAAATATTGTGAAATACTGAACAAAGGTTCTGTTACCTTTCTATAGCTATAGTAGGACATTCTGGTGAACAAACAAGAGAGAACAGTTGCCTTTCTTGCCTCAAGTTGTACTCACAACTTGCATTTATCTTTCCCAGAGATTGTTCAAACTGTCTAAATAAGAAATTTTAATATTGATACCTGAACTATGCAGATATGTTCTTTAATGTTCAGTACTTACAGTGATTCATCATTAATTCTAGATTTTTTATTAGTACACTATCCATACATTTCTATCAACTCACTGTGGTTTTATTTATTTTGTTTTTGTTAATTCAGCTCTAACCATTTTTCTCTTGTAGAATGATGTATTTGTGTATTCTGAACAACTTGAGGACAAAACTGCTCAAAGTTTCTTTCTCACAGAATTAAGGCATTTTGAAATATTCCACTAAACAGAAGATTTGTTTACATGGAGCAATCCTTCACTAAAACAGAGACTGAAGTTTTGATTTCTGAAAAACATTCAGCCATTCATCTTGACGTATCTCATCAGAGCCAAGGAGGCAATTTCCACAAGGCAATACATGTAATTTATCAGTTCATACAGGATTAAGACTACTATTATTATATATAAACTAGACTGAAATTTGGGTTTTAAAGTTTATTGAACTCTGAGCAAAATTACATCCTAATTAGATTTAGATAGATTTTATGTCTGAAAGACTTTTCATAAGTTGAATTAAAATATAGCATTCTGGGAAAGAGTAAATGGTCTGATCCACTCCAACTTTGCAGCTCAGGTTTCATCTCTGGTAAACAGAAAGTAAGCAAAGAAACAAATACGAAAATACAAGTAAAAATAGTGTGTACTTGTCCCTGATTTCTGTGGTTTTGTAAGTATTAAACTTCTGAAATAAGAAAACATCAAATAATAAACGCTAGTAAACTCCCTTGAGTTTGCTTCAGTGGCATCTTGTAACGCAGTACAACTTTTTTGTAATATTACACCTATCTCTAGTTGTTTTTTTGTTTGTTCTTTCGTTTTTCTTTGTTAGTACATATACTGAAATACTTATTTCATATTTATAGATGTCTGTGTAAAATATACATCTTTCTTATTTCATTTATAACAAATTCAACAAAAATCAATGCTCATCTTCTTGCTACCTAAGTGGATTTGGATGATGCCATACATATACCAGGGATTTTCCTGACACCCTGCAACGGAGAATTCTTTATTATTTTTATCTGATAATTTAGGCAGTTCTTATTTATTCATGCTACTTCTCACAATGTCCCCATATTACAGTGAACAAAATTAGAAAGTTTCTCATACCTTTGGTTGAAGATTTGGATGAAGTAGCACATACCCATTAGGATCAATTGCAAAGTAGTATCCATTTGGACAAAGCTGAAAGAAAGAAATGAAGTTTAGCGTAGTAAATTCTGAAGTAATAAAGAAAGATTAACCAGTAGCTTTCCAGAAATAGTTACACTGAAGAAAATATATGGCTTAAGGCATCATGAAGTATGTGAGATATTAATCCTGAGAAAAGTTTTTAAAAAATGTTTCCTCTTTTAGAATCATAAATATAGGAGAATAATTTGTGCTGATCTGGAGTTCACAAGGGCCCAATCCTTCACTGAAGGAAGTGTATTGAATATGCTCACTACACAGCTGACCTCTCCTAGAAGGACCTATTGCTGAATTCTGTTCAACTTGTCCTCCATTATGAACCCCGCTGTTCCTTTCCTACTTTTTCAGGCAGTCTGCCCAAAGACTGTACTGTGGCATGGGATTTTCCCATCCTAGATGGGAGACTCTGTATTTGCCTTTGGTAAAATTCATGATGTTCCTTTGTTTCCCCAGATGTAGTTTTCCACAGTAATGGGTATTTTTCTTAGAAATTCCCTAGCTAGATGTCTAAATATAGAAATCAATCATATTGAATAGTGTATAGACAGACATATATTTAATAATTTTTCTACAAATAAATGTCCTCTAAAAATGATAAGTATTATTATTATTATTATTATTATTAGCGATAGTTAATTATATACTCTGGACCTGGACTCTGGTAAGAATCAAGCAGTCATCTGAACAGCAATGCCTAAGGCTACAGAATAATAAATACTTGGAATATATCCCCTAGTGTAAAATTAGCTTTTACAGATGGATTCTGATGGACAATTCACACAGAAGCCTGGGTTTGCCTGGTCAGAAAATCTGCAACAATGGAAAAGAGTATATGAAAAGAAGCCTGCTGGTGTTTTGACTCACATCCAGTCATTGCTACATGACTGATGAAGAGCACACAAAGAAATCTACATAAATCATACATAAAGAAAAACTACCAACACAACCAACTCACCGTAAATCGAGGTGTCAGCTTTTTTATGTCTTCCAGAGAGACATCAACCCCCATTACTCCAAGAATCAACTGGTTCTGGCAAAATTCCAAAATGTTAGGTCATGTTTGACATATTTACAATACAGGATAACTGAGAGTCAGTGATTTTAAATTTTGTCTTCATCACTTGTTTGACAAAAGTTGCCTATTTACTACTGGGCCTATTTTAAATATTTTTAACAATAACCGATGTGATTAAATATAATATACATAATTTAGTACAGTGTGTGGAGATTGTTTCAGAAGGTGATAATGCATGCTTTCCTGGGTGAACAAACTATAAATGCAAGAACAAAACAAGCAAAACATATTGCTTGTCAAACTACTGTGAGTTACTAGCATCCATATAGACCTATTAATACACCCTCAGGTTGGGCTGCTGACCGTTAAACTTATTAGACTGTAACAGCACTAGAAAAACTTAATACTTAGATCTTAGCCTGTGCCCACAGTGCTATTTTTTATAATTACAACTAATTCATTTAAAGTCTGCATCATTGCCTTTTACCCTGAATCGTCACAGCTTCACAGGTTTGTTATATATTTATCTGGGCTTCCCTTCCTGGCAAGGCCTAAAAAATGTCACTTTCTACTTCCCATCTCCTGAGCACTTTGCTCATTCACACTGCCACCAGGTCATAGAGATAAAACAAGGAATGTCATACCCTGAAACTCAGAACAACAAAATGAGTGACCTGAACTTTCTTGTTCCCAAGATATTAACAGGGAACAAGAGATGACCTATTTATTTCTGACATATAAGACAATTAAATTGTAGAAAGTTCTATCGAAATGCACATTTTTCTAGGAGCTTAGCATTAAATTTAATTGTTTGCTTGCTTGCTTTAAATAACAGCTTACTATTTTTCCGTTTTGTTCTTTTGTTAGATTGAAGACAGGCAGAGTTCCTGTAATCACAAGTCCCAGCTCCTAAGAAATAAACACATACAGAGGAGATAAAATGACTTTTCAGTTTAGTAACAAATATTCATAAGGAAATAGGGATCAGGGGAAAAAAAAAAAAAGAAAAAAAGGGAAAGCCATACAGGAGGTTGCTTAAGATACAGAACCATTGTTACAAGTGAACACTGTTACAAATTCTAATTGCTGCTAACACCAAGACTTAAGAAAATGCTGTACGGGTACTAGATATATCTGTGCCCTCCTCCATGATGAGAAAGTCCACAGATTTCAACCTTTACCTCTGATAGCTTAGTATGGGTTGGTCTCCACCTAATAAGTATTATTACTAAAATGCCCTATTTTTTATAAATACATATGTATGCACACACACAAATATGCCTATGATTATATACAGACTTACAAACATGTTTACAAAGCACACTTATACAGGAAACTTGAAGGAAAGACTGAATTAACCCAATGAAAACACACAGTGACATGATAGAGGTTTTCAGATGTCACTCTCTTCAGTAAGCAGAACTCTTTCTTTTCCTAGTTACAAATTTATCTTTGGCTTTACAACAGGATATGTACAGAAAATAAGAACTTTCGTCACAACATCCTTTATATTTCCAGTAAGTATCTCAACAGTAACCCAGAAAACATGGTTAATGAACTTCTGGTCATTGAAATTCCAAAGAAAATCGGGTTCCCCTGTGTATCGTGCTCAGTTCTATGATGTACTGATAAAAATTTACAATAATGCTAACTGACAGGAAGATGTGGATTTTGACATGACATTAATGACCATGTGACCATTTCCAGATGACCATTTAACAGTATTTTTTGTCTAGATAGAGTTACTCAGAAGGAGGTTATCTAGAAGAACAGATTAGATTGCTAATAATACTTTGCTGTTTGCACTTCCCTGAATATGTTTTACAAGATTTGTGATATGTTTAGCAGTAAAGAAAGTATTTCATACAACTTTTTGTTTATTTTCCAGTTATATGCACTGTCCAATTAAAGAAATCATTGCTTTGAGCAAGCAAGTAATTAGAACTATGGTAATTTAAAGATTTTTGTTCAAAATTTGTAAAAATACCCAGTGAAATTGAAAGGTTTAATTCTCCCTTGAGTGCCCAGGGGAAAAACAAAACAAAAACAAAAACAAATACAAAAAAAACCCTCACACAGAAAAACCCAAACAAACAAATCCCCCCCTTCCCGCCTCACACACACACAAAAAACCCTCCACAGCAGTAATATAACTGATGATCTCTACTGCAGCACAAGTATAAAACTGGATAACTGTTTTTGTTGTTGTTGTTGTTTGTATTTGTTAATTTGTGAACATTGATGACTTCCACCTAAGGATCTGTGTGTAGAATTGCTTTTCTCTGTTAAAGTTGAAAACAGCAATGAAAATACCAGATGCAAGCAAAAAACAGGATGTTGGCACAAGCTGTTCAGAAAGTTGTTCTATTGAAGTGTTCAGATGCTGGAAATGGAAGAATATTATGTTTGCAATAATAAAAAAAATAAGTCATTAGGACTGTGGAGAATGGAGCCCTATGCTAACTGATATCCTATACCTTTCTTCCGAACAGACCAAGAATTTTACTTTAATAAATAACAGTCATACCAGAGCATCCAGATAGACATTTGTCCATTGGACCTGTTTGGCTTTCTCTCCAGCTAACACCATTGGCCTTCCCAAAACATCCAGATATTCCTGCCAAAAAGTGCAAGAAACTTTTCAGAAAGCAGTTATTAGATTCATGTCTAGAAACAGCATAAGAACATTAATAACAGTAAGAAAATAAAAGCAACATAAAAAAAAAGAAAAAGATTAGTGAAAAAGTCAACATTCACCACTAACACAAGTATTTTATTTGCATATTTATTTATAATTTTACTACCCAACATCTCAGTCTTCAGACTGCAGTATGCACTGCCAAGACAATTCCTGTATTTCAATGTCAGTTGCTCTATCACAGTTGGACCATATAGATCTATAACCACTGCTCTCTTTTCATGAAGTGAAAATTACAGTTATATCTATTCAAAAATTAGATGTTAATGTAGCAATGAAATTACGGGCAGATCACAGATCCTTCAATTAGGAAGAGATAGTGGAGGATGAATGGCAATCGCCGTGTGAGGTCCTACAACAAGAACCTACAATAACTCCTATTGAAACTAAACTTTCAGATTTTTAAACGTTAATAGTCCCTGTCTTCCTTTAGTTCTGCATTGCAGATAAAGCTGGTGATCTTAAAAGTTATAAAATTTCTGGTCCGACTTGGGAATGGTTGCCATCAAACTTCTTTTTTTCTTCAAGTTTTCCAATCTGTCTTAAAATATTAGGGATATTTCTTGCCAAACACTATCTGGAAGAGTTTAATGGCATCAAAGGACTCTTATCAAGACAAAAAATGATTTATTTATTTATTTATTTATTTATTTGCAAAAAAAAAATGTCATGGCTGGTGTTGGAAAGACAAATAACTGCTGTGGTATTTCCTTACTTTTCTGGACATCTGAATACATGAGCTTTCACACAACAGAAAAAAATATCTGGTCCATCTACACTGTCAGTTTGGATCACATCATGCAATTCCAGGATCCTGTGCCCTTAATTATCTGCACTTGTGTCTTCTAAATTGTCCCTGAATTTTGAAAGGAAAAGCTGTCTGTCCAGACTGGTTAGACCAACTCAGGAACCTCTCAAATATTTGGGACTCTATCAGGCCACTGTTTCTGTTCAGTTGTGTTCAGAGATTTTATCAGATTTATGCAGACCCACTGCCTTCTCCATGCAATGCAAACCTGTCTAGAAAGGTTATATATTTATAAAAAAATTACTGGTTTTAAAGAACTTTATGAAAATTGCTGCCAAATCTGAGAATCAAAGAGGAGCCATCTAAGGCAAGGAGGAAAACTGATCCTAGAACGAAGCCCTTGTCTGAAAAGTGTTACAGGATGATGATTATTTCAAACCTTAGGTTGTGTGCATGTGTCCAGACAGTTTTAGAGGATGCTAGCATGACCTGCATGCATGCAAGCGACTGTGGGCTAGCTGGCCAGGGTAACCGAGATCACATTGTAAATTGGCTGTAACTGTGCAGAAGGAAAAAATAAATGAGAATATTCTAAGAGAATAAAACCGCATATGTACATGAAAACCATAACTTTTTCTCCATTCTTAATGTACTCTACCTTGGAAAATAGTTTAGAACAGAAATTACCCTACTTTTTGTGTTACAACTGTATCTGCATTTTGTAAACATGCTTACCTGGGTGTTTATTCTTATGGCTCCAATGGATGGAATTTCATAATAATAGCCTAAAATGGGGAACAGAAATAACACTGTCTTAATATAATACAATTCTAGTTTCTTCATCTTAAGGAATTTAATTTTACTCATAATTACTCATAATTTACTCATAATTGAAACTTTATAGAAAGTACCATGTATGAATAAAACACTTTTTTTGTCAATGCCACAGCAACACATGGACACACATGCCATACAGGCCAACCTAGTTACTCTTCAGCAGCAAGACTGTATTATGTATTTATTTTGTCAGTTGTTTTTAAAACTAGGATAATGTACTGAATTTGTATTCTTGTACTCCCAGTTACTTTGAAGTGCCAGCATACTTAATGGTTGTTTCAAAGCACTGTGATAGCAACAGAATTATATCTTGAATGTATGTGTATAAGAAAGCAAGAATAGCTATAGTTTGTTGCAGTACTGAAGTTTACAGCATAAAAACATAAGGCAATCTGGAAAGAACAACAAAAAAAAAACATATCCAGCATTTTTTCTAAACTGAACATCAGAAATGTCTTTATTCATTATCGATATTATCTCTTATTTGTCTGAATCAAAAATATTGCCCATATTCATCAATAAGACTGAAAAGAAAGAGAAATAAAGCTCCTGATCCAAGATCCAGTTTCAGACCACAAATCAGGAGAAAGGAGAGCAGAACAAGAGAGGCAAGAGTAATGAGGTTTCTCACATACTTTGTCTTAAGTAATGTGTGACTTGATAACAAATTAAAAGCTTTAAGAAAAAGTTAAAGAAAAATTTCTTCTTTGGATGTGCAAGCAAAGAATTCCATCAATTTTGGAAAGATGAATATGATCATTTTCCTTTGATAATAAAATGACATAGGTGATAATTCCATAAGTGAGCTGGTCTGAATTTATTAACAGAGTTTAGTTTAAGTGAACATAGTAATCAGAGATATAAAGACATTACTTAAAAAAATTGTTCAAAAATCAAATGCTGATTTTCTGTAATTACCTGGCAATGCAATCTACAGAACAACTTGCATAATTTAAGTCAGCGTTCTGAGATATTTATGAGGTCATGATACACGTGTTGTTCAGGTAAGTTATAAATTATTCTCTATAATTATTCTTTCTATATCTTTGTCTTATGTTTAAAAATTTCTCTTCTGCAATGTATCTCTGTTTACCTCTTCTCTCCTTCCCTAGTTATATGGTGTCTGAGATGCTTTCTTCTCACACTAATTCTAAATGCATCTTTCTACATTTTTCATGCAGAAATTTTAGGAGAAAGAATTTTACTTCCTTACATTAATTCTTTTTTTTTTTTTTTAATTTCCATTGGAAAAAATCATAAGGATGCACTTAGAAACTAAGGAATCACAGAAAGAATAATTACGATATTTTCTTATAAAAAGGAAAAAAAAAAAGGTGGGGGGGAAGAGAGGGAAATTAATGCAAGTCAGCTGGTCTCTTCTAAGTTTTGGAGAAAAAAAAAAAAAAAAAGAAATTCAATCAGGCAACCAACCAAACAAAAGATTCTTTTGTCCAAGCTCCTTAATATAAAACAGGTTTCTCTAATTTTCTTATCTGTCATCAGTTCCATGTTTCCATAGATAGCTATTACACCAAGAACACTCAAAATTTACCCATAATATCTTACTATTATTATAATGAATACTGTAATAATACTTCTCTTACAACACTGTATTATATAATAACAAGTAAACACAAAACTTATTATTTATCCACATGTATATACACATTCCATCAACTTTTTTGTAACTGATTAAAAATACAAGAAAGCTGAAAAAAAAGACAGAATTTTTAAAGAATGTTAAAGATATTGCTCCAGCAAAGAACAGTTTCAAAGACAAAGTACCTTTATTTTCACAGGCCATCCACTGAATAGGTCCTTTGTCATAATTATGTTGACCAACAGAAAATGTGAACACACGTACCTAAGCATATTGAAAAAAAAAAAAAAGACATAACATAAAACTTAACTAAATACCATTAATTAACTGTGACTCTCAAGTTAATGATTCCTGGATTTTTTAAAAAATATATTTGAAGCAAAAAAGAAATCTCTGAACTTCCAAATTGAAATCAATTCAATGTCACTGGCATTATGACATTTATATATTGTATTTTGTCCCACCAAATAGAACTCATTAAGAGTTTTTTTCCATACTTCTTTCATGCTTTAAAGCTCTAATACCAATTATTCTCTGTAAAGCATTTGATTTTTTTTTTTTAATTTTTCTAGTGCGCTTATTTTAACACTTCTCTCTTTTATTAAATTAGTTGTCATTATCTTCTATCATACTGATAGAATAAACTAAAATTAATAATAAGAAATTAATGAAATAAAATAATAAAAACCCAGTATGTTTGTATGTAGACTAAAAACCATAGAAGATGCAGAGAAAAGCTACATATATATCTGTATACTATGTTTCAGTTTCCAACAGAATATTCTGCTCAGAAGCTGAACTTTTCTGAAGAAGGTGGGAAAAATATTTTCCCAGCAGTTCCTATGTCCCTCTGAAGGATTATCCTACAGCCACGCAGTCTTTCCTTTTCAGGCATCTCTTTATGAACCTTTAACTTTACCACTTCACTTTACAAAATACAGATCATAATATGAAAACAAAATAGGAATTCCTTTCCATGGGATTGAGTAATAAAGGCTTGTTTTCTTTAAATACATTAAATATAAAGCTGCATAGACTCCTTGCAAACTACTTTCGGATTGATGCTAAGTTTTTAGGTGGCATTCATTCAATTTTTCTTCACTTTATTTAGTGTGTGCTACATAAAACTTTATTTGTCAAATAAGCAACAGAAATTGTGTCACACAGTCAGAGCCAATGTATTAACCAAGAGCTATAGGAATAGTTCCAAATCATCAGTCAACAGGTATCAATTGGTGAAATTTTATTACTGATGACCCTTACATGGAGGAAGGGCAAACCAAGCTTTGCACTAGATATCATTTTAATTAGGAATATGTTTTGATTTGGTCTGTCTGTTAAAACCCTTTGTTTCTGCTTCTGGTAGAATTACAACAACTACTTAGGCACGATTTAAAAAAAAAAAAAAACACACAAAAAAACAGAAAAATGTTTTTAATAAAACTACCCTATATAAGGTCATTTCTCGATAACAACTCAAACCAATTGCAGTTTTAGTTACATGAACAGGTATGTGAATGATTATGTGTCTGATGTTGAATTTTGTTCTCATAGTTTGTATGGACAGAGACAGATGAAAAATACCTCCAATTACTTTGGAAGCATCAGTATTGCTAGTACGAACATAATTTCAATATGTCTGCATCTCATTTACCTTTTTTATTATGTATCACATTGTAAAATCGAGTTTCATTTGCCATTCCTCACTTGTTCCTATTTGTTCTTGACCTTTTTTTACAAAGTGCCAGTGTAACCCTTCTAATGGATCTGTTTCTATTTAATTACCATCTATTTTTTACAAGTTAAATATTATGTTGTTTTATATCTGTATCTCTCAGCTCAGAACCCATCTATGACACTGTTTTTTGGGGACTCACAACTGTTCCTGGTTTAGTATTCACTAAACAATTAAGATTACATTATTCTTAAAAATTATGGTGAAACAAGACAAAATCCACTAAAGACCACTAGCTAGATGGTTGAGTGATCTGATGTCTCTTTTGGATTAAAAGCAACTAATTAAGTATAAAAGAGTCATGTGGGTTTGCTTGTTTGTGTATAAAATACGAGGCAATTAGACTGGATCATCTAGCATTTGATCTCAAATATAAAATTAAAGCACTGTGTTGGACTCAAGTTGCGAAATGGTATGTAATTTAGGAAAAAGAAGCAGCATGTTAAATCTGCAACTAATCTATAAAGAATTCAGAATTTAAATTATTGACAACAACCAGAGGACAATATATCTGATTTAGTGTTCCTTGGATAATTAACAGAGATAAAGAACTGCAATGAAAATTTGAGTTTTTAATTGTTACTTGGTTTGGCAAGAAGGTGGAACATTCAAAGAGTTTTCTTTTTCCCATTGCCTCATCTGGAATTAAGTAGAATGACAGACCAGCTGGAAAAATGAGTCAGAAAGTCAAATTAACAAGCCAATTTTAGAAAAAAAACATGCTCTTTGTTAACATTTTCTATGACATGATACAGTATTAGCCGAAGGACTGAGATGAATCTGTGTTTTCTTTTTCTTATAGACATCTCTCCAAAGAAGACAGAAGACTTTCAAACTTAAAAATAAATAAATAAATAAATAAATAAAGGACAGGTTTAATTATTTTTACTAGGAATATTGTGACTGAGAATAGATACAGATATAAACATCTCTCCCTTTATTTGTTCCTCATTTCAAGTTTAGTTTCCACCAAGTAAGTGGATTTCTAAGTTGAAGAAAACTGTCAAGTATATTTGATCCCTAGAAGTTGTTTTTCATCTGAAATAGCCACTGAGACATGTTGTTTCTTCTCTGTACTTCTCTAAAAGATCTCAGATCTTCTGAACACAATAGGTTCCAGGCTCTTTCACACAGGTCTTCTTTCCCCAAACCTTTCCCCACAGAAAATCCAGCCTTACAGGGGAGATCCATTTGTTCTCTTCATGTACAAAAATAACATTCAAATTATTAAAAAGTAATAGAATTAGAAAAAAAAAAACAAAAAACAAAAAAACAAAAAACAAAAAAAAGAAACAAAAAAAACTAAAACCAAAATAAAAGATAGGAGTTGTCTTGTTCTCAATGGGACTACTGAAAATATAGTTTTTCTAGAAAAGTCATACACTCATGATGGAGAAGTTAAGATGGTCAGATATGGTCTAGGATTTTTGTTAAGTGTAAGTGTCCTAGCTTTTCACCAAGACTTCGAGTCTAATGCTGCATTAGTTCTTTTAGGATAATAATATGTACTAATTCTTTGTATTTTTCACTATTTGAAACAAGTCTTCTATCATTATTAATTATTTTCAGTGTAAATAGTGTAAAGCAATATCTTTATTAAAAATTAAAAATGTTTAGAACTATGTGAGGACAGTCAGATAATGAATGACAAAGGAAAAGGCTGCTCAGAGAAGCTGTTAAGTCTGCATTCTTCAAGATCTTCGAGACCACATTAGATAAAGCCCTGAGCAACCCAGTCTGATTTAGTCCTTGCTTTGAGCAGGACATGGGACAAGAGACCTCCCAAAGGTCTTTGCATCCTGACTTATCCACAATCCTTTGAAGGATATGAAAGGAAATAAATGAATAAAAAAATAAAAATCCAACTCTCAAACATAGAAATTTCCTAACAGAAACAATGCTACAGAAAGTTGAGGAAGAAGTACTGTATTAAGAAACCTAATAATCACATAAACTAATTATTTAACTAATTATTTATTTTCCTTTTTTTTACTTCGAATTTCTCTCTACAAGAAAAAAGTCTCATAAAGATCAATGTGAACAGAAGGATTCTGACTCCTACACATATGAAGTGATAAAGGCACTCGAGAGAGCTGTGAGGAAAATAGAAATGAAGAGCTATAAACAAATAGGCTGGTTTGGTTACAGATCTCAGTTGCCTTTTTTTTTTTTTTCCGTATTTTATTTCTTCATTTTGCCGTTGGAGTAACATAAAGTAATAAGTAAAATGAATCTCACCATTTTACCACAATCATGTAGAAGTGTGAAAGACTTTTCCCACCCCTAGATAAACAAACTGAATCAAAAAATGATCTGATCAGATCATGTAACTTCAGTTTTCCTGACAGTAAGATTTCAGAATATATTAATTTGAGCTTTGTAACTGCAGATAAAAAGTAAGTTTTTTTTTTAAATTACTATTATTAAAAACCAAGAGAAGCTGTAATAAAGAGGAATTAATAATTCAGTAATTTCAGCATCATCAAAAAATTATTTTTTTCCCATTAATGTGCTTATATAGATAATCAGATATGATGAAAAATTGTTTCAAATTTATATCTAATAGGTATACTTCTCAAGCAAGAGTAACAAACCAAGACTATTATTCTAAATAAAATCACAAAACTGCTTTTCTATATTTCATTATGCAGTCTGTCTCCTAGATCCCTTGTAAACATATCTTTTAAACCACTTAATTATTTTACAACTCTTCTGCTGGAGATCAGAGAAATGTTATGTTGTTTTCTAACTATCACACTGATAATTCTCAATGTGTTCCTTTCCTTACTGTCTTTACATCTTTGACTTATCTCCAAAACTGAACAGAATTTTGAAGACGATTTCAGATTCTGCTATGAAGTAGCTAAGACCAGAAGGCATTTATGATGAATTTTAATGAAAAGCACAACTAGAGAATTATCATCTGAAAACTCTGCAGGGTAACTAGGTTAGCCATAGGAAATGCCAAATACTGAGTTTCACCTAAATTCTGGTCCATAATCTTTTGTCCTTGACTGCTAGATTCAGAACTTCAAGGAATACAGTCATGATGCATTTGGGTTTTATCAATAAAAGTAAAGCAGCTTTGCTTCGATAGAAAGGACAGGGAAAAGAGAAATAGAAGCTGCATGTTCAGGAGTATTGCTGGCAGTGATGTGGTAGAGGTAACTTCTAGGGTCCCTTAGTCTATATTTATGCACTAAATAAATTGAACATAAATCATTTTCTTTCTCAGCCTGTAAGGCAAAGCATGGATCACATCTCTATGGCTACATTATTTTGCTTTCCTCCCTCCCCATCCCAACCCCCCCACATCATTTCATCTCATTATGATGTCTTTTGGGATCAGCTATGGTTCATGCTCATCCCTGAACTGAACTCCTCAAGACACTGTTTGAGAGAGCTGACTGCCACAGGCCAAGAACCATACCACTGAGTCTGTTAACAATTAAACATTATGGATAATTCTGGACAGTTCTTCAGACTGCGTGCTGACCTTGGTTTATGGGTATGGGCACAGCTGTGCAAT